TTAACATAAGTTAAGTGATTTTATAACAATTCAAGACATAATTATATCAACTTTTTACCACTTAACAGATGGTTGAGTTGTTTAGCTTATAAATTGAAAACTATGCCTTTTGAAATTCTAAAACATGTAATTATGATGAGTATGAACTTGAGATAATTATACTTTTTCATCTGATACTCTATATTGCCGTCATCCCTATGTTATTTTTAACACATCCACGCACACATTGTTAGATTTGTCACCCTCCCTTATCATTGATATTTATGCACTGAATTAACCATGTTAAGCGTAGGAATGATTTTGAATATCAGCGGTGTTCCATAAACCTGTTAAAGGAAAAAGGATAGTGCGTGCTTTACAGTTTAATTGATTAAAAAATCATTAAATAGCCTGAAAGATAGAATGAATGTGTCATTTTAACACATACTTTTTTGCAAGCTTTCCATGTCAAACATTTGTTATTGGTAGAACATATAGGCATAAAGGAGCTCATTCCACACATCAGGCACTCCAGGGAGGCACCAATGAATGCAATCTGCATAACTTTTTGGGTTTGCAATCTGTTCTTGGGTTAGAGAATCCCATTGCTTCCTGTATACAGATGGGTGTCCTTCTTTTCTGTATTCTGAGAGCTGTGTGATGTTCAGCATTTGAACATTCAAACCTCTTCCTTTCAAATCATCAAGCACATTCTCCACCACACGCATCATTTTAGGATCAGACCCCTTGCCCCAATATCCTTCTTCTGCAATCATATCGGTTTCACTGTAACAATTGTTACCCTTAGCAGCTCCCCATTCCTCAGCCCTGCATTTTTTTATTTTCAATTACACATCTGGTATATTCATTGATTCAAGTAAAATTACAGAACTATTGTTTCATTATAGATGGATCTGATATGCAACTTTGATTGAGTTTTGTGGGTAATGGGATATTCACTATAGCTACTACGAAGCAAAAATTTCAATATTCTTGGACAGTTCCCTTGAAGAACCTGATTTGAATTTGATTTCTAAATTACTGTGAATATTATAAATGAATAGCATACTGAAATTATCTCTTTCTAGTAATATGTGTTTTCTATACTGTACTACTTGCAAGTTGCTGAAGGATTGTCATTATTGAAACTGGGTAGTGAGTTATGTGAATTGTGAACAATGGGAATGCTTATATAATAAATATACAGATTACAAGGGAAATCCTCTTTTATCTATTGTAAGAAAATGGCTGCAAAGGTTCTTCTTAACATTATTTTATGCATGTCTAATTCTTGCTTAACTCTACAAATGTATTAAGTTTTGAATGAGTTTGATTAAGTATTGGTCGCTGGAACAAAACAATTTATTCTTGAAATAGTTATTCAGAAAGGCATGTTAAGTAGAAGTCATCGATTTATCATGTATACTTAAGAAATTGGTCATTGAATGAGTTCCGTACTTTATTACAATGAGAATTTGTCGTTGTATTAACCAAAGTAATGGTTTAAATTGTTTCCCAACAAGAAAGTAATGGTTAAATAAATATATTAATGTTGAAAACATACATCTGTTGTAAAAAATACGTAAGTTAAAGCAAACCGTACGTACGGTAACACCAATAAATTAATGTGTGTATAACTTTCTAGAGTACAAAGCTAAAAAATTCGCAATTGTCAACTAGTTTTTAAAAGTAATTTACTGAGAGTTTGCAAAACAGTCAAACAGAGATAACAGCGTTTTCCCATTGATTACTCCCTTGTATTCTCACACAAACAATCATTAAAAATCTGAAAAAAATTCTACCAATAAAAAACACCTAGAAAAGCAAGATAATTTTGCTTTTCGTAGAATCAATACAACATCGAAACGTGAAATCTGAGTTTGAAAAAATCATTTATTATTACTGCTCAATGTTTGAACATATTGGACTTTTTTGTGGGCAGAGGGTTCCCCACCACCATGTGCATAAAATTGTAAATGTAGTTTCCCCACTTGAAAGAATTGTATGCGAAAAACACTCCAACATTTTTTTTTCTAGATTTTAACTATGGAATCACATCTAATTCTTATTTCAGTTTATCCCTCTATGTTTGTATATAACTTGGAAAGTAAGAAGGTTATTCTTTCTGATAAATTAATATTTCATGATTGTGAAATGGCATCACTTTTTTACTAGACTAACGCATTTTGGGGAATGGACTTGTGAAATTGATATGGTTGTAGATATCATCAACGAGTAAATATGATAGCTGTTCTGTTTATGTTGATACCTTTCATGAGTGGGTGACATGCTAACGAAAAACAAATGGGTCTTGTTACGATTGACATGGACTTCCAACCAGTCGGACCAGGTTCTCAGGGCCATTTCATACACTCTCAACATTTCAACACCTTTGTAGACACCATCTGGGTCTCCAAATGAACCCCACCTGCTTGTTCAATTAAATTTGTCACAATCAAAATCAATTTGTAAAGTGGAGTTAGATGCATGATTGTGTGATGAATAGTTCAATATATACAACCCTACACAATCATGTCATGTGGTGGTTGGAATTGAAGTTGGAGCCGTTGGCATGCAAGTTGATGAAAAGAAGTGATGGTTAGGTTAACTGCTGCACTTACAGAACATTCATGACTGGCCTTCTCCACCACAGATAAGTGTTGAAAACCAGAAAGTCTGCATCAGCCCAGTACTTGGCATGTTTTTCTATGGCCTTCACTCTTACTGTGCGTTCTGGTACCCTATGGTTTACTGGATCATCTGAGTTTGATTCTACTAGTAATGGGGACCAATAGTGCTCAATACTTGCATTGTATTCCTTCATTAACGTGTCAATTAAACATATATATCAGCAACATATATATGAATAGTTGCAAATGTGACAACAATAAGAATTTTTTAATATATATATATATTAAAAAAAAAAGTTCTTTAAATATTTTAGAGACATATCACCTCTCTTTCTAAGAAACACTTGGCACACAATGTTAAAGTTGTTGCTTTGTGACTTTGAATTCGTAGGTTCAAATATTGAAAACAGTATCTTTACTTGAAGACATATTATTACGTATTAAAAGAAACAAGAACACTTTGTTTACGTACGTTACAAGTCCTGTGGTTGTTACGAGGGTGGGGACTTACTTTGGCCTTGAAAATGTTTAGTGAACCATTGACAGTGGAATGCATGGATTTGAGGTTTTGGGGCAGTATAGAGTCAACAAGGCAAACCATGGAAACCCATTGGCCTCTGTTCAATGAATCCCCCACGAACACAAGCCTCTTGTTCCTTAGCCTTTCAAGTAATGCTGTGGCATTGAACCTTATTAACATACAAACAACCACATTCCACAAACCTCAAAAACATAGCCAAACCTCATTAATCATATAGACCATATGTATATGTAGGTGTATATATATATAAACTACAACAACCAATATTAAAAAAAAAATAAAAAAAATATATATATATATACTGTAAAGATAAATGATTATATGGTTTAGACAATTGTGTGTTTTGAATTTTCACGTGACACAGTCAAGTTTTAGTAACACTTTTTGAAAATTTAAAAATTCAGCCAATTGTGTTGCATTATGGAACCAAGATAGTTTTAGTTTAGAAAATATTTAGTTTGCGACAACAATCTATTCAACCGTGAAAATTTTTGGAGATGTTGGTGACTACCATGCAACTGCAATTTTAGTCTTATTAGCTAAATTTGTACACGGTTTTTGACAATATCAATAAAACTGCAACAGCAACTGTAATTTGAAGCTTTGAACATGATGTTCTGCAGCATATAAAAATTTCTCCAAGGAGAAGAGAAAGAGAGAAGAGACACACCTGGGAAGGTCACAGTGGTGAGGCTGCCACCTCAAATTTTGGTAACTCAGGTCCTTCCTTCCAAACTTCTCACAAGCCAACTGATCTGACATGAAGGTGCATTGCTGCTCTTTGTACAATGGATAAGATTCCTTATCAAAAACCCAGTTACCAGAAAAAAAGTCACACTTTGATGATGATGGTGAGGAGGAGGAGGAGGAGGAGTTACTAGAAGCGTTTATTATTGGAGATAAATGTCCTCTATCATGTCTTACATAAATGGTAGTGACAACTAGAACAGTGGTTAAGATGGCTACAAGAGAATGAAAGATGTTTCTAACACCCCACGAACTCCCTGCAGCTATCACTATTTTCTGTGTCTTTGCCATTTTCATTTTGGCTTTCTTCGTTTGCGCAGCAACCTTCTATCCTTCCTCCTTTTTGAAGCTTCGTCGCAATCGGTTGGTGAGAAAGGTTTGTATTCTACCTTAGCCAACTTCTCCACTAAAAGTAGTAGGTAGAGTACGATGCACTTCCAAGCTTTTGTTATTGATATACTGATGAAGAAATGGCAGAACAAAAAAATATTATTTTAGGAATCAAGTTAATTTTGTGATGATTAAACATGGATTTTAGCTTTCATATGAAAAATGAACGACCTTAGTTAACGTAGTATTAATTAAATTCTTCTATGCAACTGGATTTGCTCCAAATATATATATGGGGATTTGTAACTTCACTTTATTCATAAAAAAAATGGTAAAGTTACTTCACTTTTTTTGTATTCGTACTTGATGACAACCTTCATGATTGATAATTGATAACAACGTTCAAACAAAAAAAAAAAAAAAGTGGATTCTCTATTTTTCAATAACATGTCTCAAAAATTAAAAAGCATTAGAAATACATTCTAACACAATCTGTTCTTAATTAAAAATTATAAATCAAGTGTTTCTAAATAAAATTTGAAATTCTAAATATATATATATATATATATATATATATATATATATATTTTTTTTTTTTTTTTGTGAGAGATGCCCGTGAAGTGTGTGATTAGTCAGACATATTTGAAGCTTATGTTTTCAGCTAAAAAATAAATTAAATTAAGGAAACACTTTTTAGTTTCTAGGTATTCATTGTTTGGAACTTTGGTATGATATGACTTAGATGCAGGCCCAGTTTAACAATATAAATACCTTTAGGTTGTGTTGTTGACGTTTTCACCAATCGATAACATTGCTTGAAGTAAGCTCGAAGCCTCCTTCTGCTTTCTGCATAATTCAAATAAAGAATTAATTTATAGTGGATAACAGATCAGATATCCTTCCGATCAAATTCATTTGGTTTTGTCTTTAAACACAGATGACAGAAAAGAAAACTGAGAGAGAACGAAGAAATCTTAGAAAAACAGTGCTCGTAACATTAATAAACAATGGCCACAGTTTTTTTGTTTTTTGTTTTTACATAGTAATAAAAATGGAGGAAGGGTTGAATCAATTTTACTTGATGAAGAAGCGAACTATCATAATTCACCTTCACTTTTACTTAACAAAAAGATTGACCCTCTGTTAACAAGAGAAAAATATAAAACTTGTAGAGAATTAAGTTACATGTTGAAAATACAAAGTGATTAACTTGGTTTAATCACGTGTGTATCTACACTTCATCTGTGCATTATAGAATTGGGTGGGTGTGAGTTGGAGTTCACTGTAGGAATTAAGTAAGGTGCTGTGTCATTTCCCTCTTAATCTGTCTTCTGTCTTCTTATCAAAAACTGTGCACTCTTGTGCTGCTGTTTCATAAATCTTCTTTGTCTTTTATTTAAGACACAAAAATATCTGTTACAGAAATTGTAGTTTAGTTAAAGAAGTTGCAGTTTAAGTAGTATTTATTATGCATGTGTTTAAGATATGGATTAAAAAATATTGTGTATCAATTCAATGTTATGTACTTATATTTTAAAATTTATTCCAATAATATATATAATCAACCGTGCTTATTTAGGAATATAAACATCATGATACATTATTAATAAACAAATAACTAAAATATTGGTGTTCAATGTTTATAAATATTTCATTAAAAATGTCTTTGAATTTTTTACCATCTTACTTAAATAGTCACATTTTTTTACATTTTAATAATTTTTTTAAAATTAGTCACGTTTTTTCACTTTTAACACAATCGTCACCAACACATGGTAAAGAACAAAAAAATGTAAAGTATAAATATTCTCCCCATATTATGTGCTACCATTTTAATAAACATTTTATTTTACGAGTTATTACGATAATTTTAATTTATTTTTAAGTGATGATAATTTTATAATAAAAAAATATTTTTTTATGATGATTTAATTTTAAATTATTATAATAATAAATATTTTTATTTTAAAATTAAATTATCATTAAAAATATTTTTTATATTAATTTAGTTTTAAATTAAGATAAATAATTTTTTATTCCGATTTAAAATTGAAGTAACATAATAAATATTTATAAAAAAATTTAAAATTAAATCGATATAATTAGTATTTATTATATAAATTTAAAATTAAATTGTCATAAAAAATATATATTTTAAATTAAAATAAATTGAAATTATTGTAAATTATAATTCTTTTTTAAATTTTGTGGTTCCTTGAGCTTCACTTATGTCTTTTGTTTTATTGTTATTTTATTTTTGTCGTCAATCACTTCCACAGTTTTATTCCTTCCTTTCATATAACAAAGTCTCTTTTTTTCTCATTAATTTGTATTTTACGATTTAGTTTAATGGAATATTTTAATTTATGATTCTTATTATCTGAAATTTTTTTCTTTATAAATCTTATAAATGATTATTATTCATCCAATATAAATAGAAATTTTGTATATTTTATATTTAATGTTTCTTTATTGTGAGTGATATTTGTGATCAATTTTCAAGATTTATTATTATAGTGATATCATATTTATGAAAAATAAGATAATATAAAAAATATAACAGTGGAAATTTTTATAACAGTTGTATTAAGGAATGATATAATAAGTAAAATTTACTATATAAATTATTTAATTCATTATAAAATCGACATAAAAATTTTAAATTAACCGTTATTAAAAAAAGAAAACTTTTTCCCACTCGAATGAATTTAGTGTTCCATTAAATAAAAATTACTTTACAGTTTGCATTTTTGTTTTTATAGAAAAAACTGACTATTAACAGTTGACAACTAGTACTTTATTATTAGTACAAAAGTTGTCAGGTGATAACAGGGTTACAGAAACATCAATAGTTTAAAACAAAATTGGTTCTTGAAACTTTGTTTATCATATAAAAGACTATATTTGCACACCAAAAACCCTTTATCATTTTAACACAATTTTTTTATTTTTTGAAAAATTAGAATCTAAACACACTTGTCATCATTTGCATACACATGGGAAAGTCCCATGAATGCAGCGAAATGCTCCTGTCGTGCTTTAAGAAACAGGAAAAAATTGAGATGAGCATGGTTCCATGAAAGAATCTGATAAATTTAATTAATATTAGTATTTATATGATAAGAATAAATTCTTGAAAAAGCTAAAAAAAAATAAATGATGAAATTGTAGTTGGTACTCAGAAGGGAAGAAACACAGGGTGCAGCCATGTTGATGTTGTATGGTCAATTTCCAGTTTCAAAATAATTTATCAATAATGGAGCCATCACCCATGATCAATGCGCGTCAAAAATCAAATGTGTGTGTGGGAGAGAGAAAGAGAAACACGAAGATTGAAGAAAGCAAAATTAATTGAATACTTCAAAGGTATTTTTATTTTTATTTTGATCTCTCGTGTATCTCAATTCAGCATCCATCGTTTTCGTTTTTATTCCTTTTTCTGTGTTTGGAAGATGTATTGTGTGTACATCATTTTCCTTTCTTTCAAGATTCAACCAAGGAAAAAGTTGAAAGAAAAGAGCATAAATTTTGAAGAAATGAAATGAAGTAAAAAAATATCTATTGATAAAGAAGAAATATAAAAGGGTGGGGTGCACGGGATGATAGGAAGAGCATCTATGATCTCGTGTAAACGCTAACTTATCGTCCACTTGCACACCAACTTGCATAAACCGACGAGGATTCTGTGATTATTCAAACAAACCAACCCATGCTGCACCACATTTCTTTCTTCCCTTTCCATCCAATTAAATAACTACCACCATCCCTCAACAATATTCAATATATTATACTCTTTATGCTCCAACTTGCACCCCTTTTCTCTTTCTTTAACCTAATTATAATATTTCCATCCCACTATTCATCCTTCAAACCCCCCAAAAGTCACAATACACACCCCAATCCAGCTAGATACCTTTTTTTTTCTCATTTATTTCTCTAAATCTAATTACCTTTCTCTTCTATATATATATAGTACCCCCAACTTGAATTTTAATATTTTTTATGAAGGGGATAGAAGAATTCAGATAATTTCTCACCAAGGTACAAGAGAAACAACTGGATCAATTTATGGCACTATAAAGTTCTTAAAGATAGTGATTTTATTTTTCATGGACCTTACTTCTTTCAAATATGTAGTGCAAAATTTACCACAAACTTTGTGTGAAGCATTTATGTTGATACCTTTTTCCGCGTGGTAATTAATTGGACACTGATGGAAAAAATCATGTACACGTGAGAAAGTGAAAGGTCGAAGGGAACCCATGCTGCAAGTTGCATCGCCCCACAACTAGCCATCGTCACATTCGCCTTAACTTCTGGGAAGGTCATATTCTAAAGCTCTGCATTTCATGTGGAAACTTGCAATTCACATCACCACCACCACCTCCTCCTAAGTTACACAACCACTACCTTACAATATCATCAATTCTAAAACATTACAACTACATAGTCGGTGTTATATATGCATTATACAAACCCTAAGCTTTTAATCCTATCAAATTACCAAAATCACAAACACCTCAATCTATATCTTTATTTTATTAATGTAATATGGGAAACTGAAAATTGGATGAGGACATTATAAAAAATAAATAAAAAAAAACAAATGTGTAAATATTTATTATAGATTATTAATTTATTATAAACTATGGATAAATGTTTCTACAATTATATCGAGGACAAGGAGATTAGTACAAACAACGAAGACGACACCAACATTACATAAATCCTTGTTTCATTTTTCACTTTCTCGCCAAAGAGAAACAGTAAAATGATCATACAAGGGTAAAATTAAGAGAAACTTGCTGTTCTTCTCAGGTAACAACCTCACACAACATTGTCATATTAATCAAAAAGTATACAACAGCTACTTAATGGCTAAATTACAAAGGAAAAGGTGAAAACCGGACAAAAAAAGTAATGAGAAAAAAATACCAACAGTGTTTGAAGTTTGAGGTTTGAAGATTGAAGTCACCGTTGTTGATGATGCAGTTTGGTTGTTCGTGCGAGATTTTCTGCGAATTTGGCCAGGGATTGGAGGTTGCAGCGGAGGATGGTGTCGACGAAGACGCGCGTGTCGTCGGTGGTGTTCCCGGGGGGGACGTCGACGACGTAGGACTCGACAACGACGGTCCCGGCGGCAGAGTAGGGGTGGAGGGTGGTGACGGAGCGGTAGTTGGAGAGGCGGTGGTCGCCGCCGACCATGCTGAAGCCGATGACATGACGCTCGTCGTCGAGGACATCGAGGCGCTCTGTGCTGACGGCAGCGGGGAGGCCGGAGATCACGCGCACCTCGCGGAGTGTGCCCACGTCGCCGTCGCCCAGAATGACGTGGCAGCTCTTCACGAAGTGCTTGTAGGCCTGCGGGTTGTCGAAGCGCCGGACCACGGACCAAACGGTGGAGACGGGCGCCGCGATCTCCTGCACGACGGCGGAGCAGCACTGGTGCGGGGACACCGCATGGGTGTGGTGGCGGGCAATCGCATCGGGGATTATGGCGGTGGTCGGAGAGAGAGGGGGATTTGCTGGCATTTTGATGAGATTTGGAATGAATAGAGAGAAAGGTTGTTGTTTTAAAGCGAAGAGAGGGAAGTTAAGTGAAGTTGGAGGGACCAGAGGTACATAAGAGGTTTCAGTTGCTTTTGCAGTTATGGATTATTATTTATATGCATATAATATAATAATATATAATGGTATATGGCAAGTTGCAGGGAAGATAGAGAAAGGTTGAAGAGAGGGTTTGGCGGCTTCAATTGTCAAACTATGAAACCATCTTTCATGTGAGATCACATAAAAATAATCTCAATTCTTTCATAATTCTTTTTAACATAATCTCTTTTTTCTTGCAAATTTAAGGGATGAATGAAGTAAGTAGAAGACATGGAGAATCCATAACCTTAAAATTTGTTTATAGGAGTAATCATATTTCTTTAACCACTTTTCCTTCACTTTTCTCATTTACTATGTGTTTTGGTTCTGGTTGGAACTAAAACACATGAAACTTGAAGCTGAATAGAAGTAGTTTTTATGTAGATGTAAAAATTGAACTTAAATTTATAATATTTTGATATATTCTTAAACCTAAGAACTGGTTGAGTAGTTATAACTGGTGAAATTTGTTGTAGTTTAAATTTGTGCAATAATTCTTTAGTGGATGGTGTCTTTCCATTCTACAACTTTTTTAGGAAAATAAAAGAGTGAGAAATTGGTGTTTGTCAGACCAAATTTTTGTACATAATAAATATTGTTTTAGTTTGGAGTAAAGGCATTTTTTTTTATATATGTAATACAATCAATGTTTTGTTGATGCAAATAATGAAACATGAATGAGGATCTAACTTTTAATTGTCCCATTGTTATAGACTTTAATTGAAATAAGAGTTTATTTCATACATATTTATAACAATAAAAAGTTGTGATAAATGTGATTGAAAAACAAGGTACAAACTATTCATATAGTAATGTATGTATTATTTATTTATTTTTAAGAGATGTATTATTTATTGCTGAAATATGGTTAGCGTTTATTTTACGTAACTATCTACATGTAATTACCAATCATTGATTTCTAATGTAATTTTAAATTAGTTGATACAGTAAAATAAATATTCTATATACATCAAAATTAAACTCCCTCTTACACGGACGATAATGATTTCATATTAATTTGGGTTATAGTCACAAAGTGGAAAGATAAAAGATAAAATTTTAATAGAACATATTAATATCTTTTTTTTTAAATTGAATAAATGTGAAAAATAATACTATCAAACAATTAAAAACTACACTAGTTATTATAAAATTGTAAAATAACTATTATCGAAATCAATAATTTTATTAAAAACTGATGAACAATTTCTATGGAGAAATTGTTATACAGTGTATAACTAAGTAATTTAAATTTTAAAATACGAAGTTATTAATTTAAAATTAAGTAATTAGTTATACAGTGTATAACTAAGTAATTTATTAATACCTATCAATTATCTTAATAGTCCATTTTACTAAAGAGGTTGATCTAATTAGTTAATTAATAATCTTCCAAGATTCCAAATTTAAAATTTACAACTCACTTTCTGCGGATTTGGCAAACACATCCAGAATTTTATGATTCAAGGAAATTATTATATATTAATTGGTAAAGTCTAATATAATAGGTGGAGTTGTTTAAATACCACTTTGTTTTAAGTCCATTCTCTCCATGTAATAATGATCTTATCAAGTCCGTAGAAATATTAACAAATATTGTATTTAAATCAATAAAGACCGTGAAGTTAATTTAGTTATATTTTTTTAAAAAGTGAATCAATCTGGTTTACTCTTAATAGTTCCTTAATTAATCACATAATTAAGCAACAACAATAGTCTATAGAGTTAAAACTTATAGAGACACATGAGGTATTTCTCGTTCCATTGTTTCCTTAATTTTAGTGGAATCATATTTTATATTCGAAATTTGGATTTAAATTTCATGTATTCTTTGGGAAAAAAAACATTTATTCTTTTATACTAAACTCTTAATAAGAAGAAATTTGTTATTTCTTCATGAGTTAATTCGTGGACAATGATGAAAATTTACTACGAAATAGACCACATTGTACAAATTGTATAAAGATGCACGTGTCTACGGAGGTTTAATATAATTATTCAGATGAACGTGGCTAAGGAATTTTTAATATAATTATTAAGGGAGCAATATGAAATCTAAGTGAGATAGATTGCGAAAATTTATACTATAGAATTATATTTGTTTTTTACTAATTTATATTTAGTGTTCTGTAATTTAAATGATCAAATTAGTGACTTTTGCATACATTAGTTGGTGAACTTTAGTACATATAATAAAAACCTTACTAGTTTCAATGAATTAGAAACCCAAATGTTATACTCCCCAAAACATCAAGTTACGTATCTATTACTGAATGTAAAACGAGGACATAATAAGAGTATGTTCGCTGTTAATAAAATGGTTTAGAAAAGAAAAGAAATATATATATATATATATATATATATATATATATATATATATATATATATATATATATATAATAGAGATTTAGTCTCAAAGTTTATTATGACAGGAGGATTGATTATGATATTATCTATGTTGAAGTTTTTGTCTTTCACAATTTTTTTTTTAAACATTTTGATAGATTGAAAAAGGAAGGTATATATAAATTATTTTTAACCTTGAAAGTGTATATAAATTATTCTTAATATCGATCTAAGTGAGTGATGTAAGACTCATGAGCATACGAGATCTTTAGGATTAATTCCTATAATTAAGAGAGTTACGGATCTAAAATCCTAAGTCAATGGAAACAATTTACTTTTCAAGTCAAATGGTATATTTGTACATTCTCAATTACACACATATTTATCATACAGTAGCAACCAGCGAGTTCAAATATATAAGATTAAGGGGAACAAAAAAAAAAGTGTTAGAAATGTAGGTTGAGATCAAGAGGAGGGTGAATTGATCTTTGAAAAATTTTCGCACTTTCAGTAATATAGATTATTTATTTCAAAGATTTTGAATTTTGATCACTTCTTGAACCAAGAAAAATAAACAATTCAATGTAAGACACAAGAGAGTAAAGGTTTAGAGAAAGACAACCAAGATTTATATTGTTTCACCCAAATCACAGGGTTACGTTCACTTCTCAGCCAAATTCAAACTGAGTTCTACTAGATTGAATGTATTACAAATTACAATTCTGAATCACACAACACTCAATCTATCATAAGAACCAAATTCCAGTTCTTGCACCTAAACTTTCACCAAGAACCAAATTTCAGTTCTTGTTAAAACCTGTTACCAAATTCCAGTCACAGAACCCGTACTCAATAATTCTAGACACCAACAATTCAATGTAGAATTAAAGAAATTAAAAAGGAAGAAATCAGAACAATCAAACCCGATTTATGCAGCTTCTATAATATGAGTTTCTTCACAAAAAGAAATAAAAAATGTCTCAAGAAAGAACTTTATAAAACTCCACAAAACTTGCACGATTCTTTCTTGAAAAACTCTCTTATAATTGTTTGATGGATTGCTAAAAGATGATATTTAAAAGACTGAAGCAATCTTGTTTATATAGAGTTGTTTTTTAACTGTTGGTTTAATTAATCAGTTAAAACTTTCTTTTATTCAATTATCAAATCTTGATTAATCGATTAATTATTCTTTTAATCGGTTAAAATGTGCTTAATCATTTTCTAGATTTATTTTAACTAATACGACTGTGTTTTAATCGATTAAAACAGTTATGCAAAAATTCTTTAAGTTATTTTAATCGATTGATTTGCGGTTTAATCGATTAAAATATTGTCATACAATTTCTAAAAAATTTCATAAGTGATTTTAACTGATAAAAGCAAGTTTTAATCGATTAAAACATTTGACAAAATTTTCATTAAATTGTTTTAATCGATTAATTCGATATTACATTGATTAAAATTTTGGCAGAATACTTTCCAAAAATATCTCAACTGATTTTAATCGATTAATTCGAAGTTACATTGATTAAAATACTGTCAGAACATTTTTCAAAACACTTCAAGTGATTTTAATCGATTAATTCGAAGTTACATCTATTAAAATAATGGCAGAACATTTTTCCATACTTCTTAAGTGATTTTAATCGATTAATTCGAAGTTATATCAGTTAAAATTCTGAGAGAATGTTTTCAAATACTTTTTTAATGAAAATAATCGATTAATTCGAGTGTGTATCGATTAAAACAGTTCCAGTGAATATTTTAAATGGTTTTAATCGATTATTTTGAAAATATATCAGTTAAAATTCTATTATGAATGTTTCTAGCCCATTTTAATCGATTAACCTTATATAGTATCAGGTAAAACTATTTCTTAAGAACAGTTTAATCGATTACATTAATTTTTAACACATTAAAACATTTTTAGAGACATTTTTAAATTCTTTTAAATGATCAAACCTCATGTAACAGAGAGATATGAATGAATACTTATTAATATTGATGATGACTCACTAAATACTCTATCATTAAACCCAAGTAGTCTTTGACTTCATCAAATTCACACGATCTCCATTCTATCATAAAGTTCAATAATATCTTCATCATTTTAAAAAATTAGATACTTAGTAATAAGTTTAACAAAATTAGAAAATACACTCTCGTATATAGATAGATCCACTAGTTGATTTGAGGTATTATCTATTTTAAAATTTTTGTCCATACAGTTTTATATTAAAAAACATCATGGGTGATTAAGAGAAAAAAATATAAATTATCTTTTACCAGTTCCTAAATCATACAAGATTTATAAGTACTAAACCAGAAAATATTGTTATTTGTCTAAAAAAATTCATTTTAAAAATATAAAATCATTGTTTATAATTTATTTTGGTTACTTCGAGTGTCTCGTGACAAATGACTATAAATATTGGAAATGTATTGCTCTATAACTAACTTATGCTTACAACTTTTAGGCTTCTATATAAAAACTAGAGAGTATTGAATAAGATAAAAAAAATTACAAAAAATATAAAATTAAGTGCGAAAAGAAATTCGGCATTACGGAAATGACATCAGAAATGTCATGAAATCACGAAGGCTCGAACAAATTCAATGCAATGCAACCGATTTATTCAAATGAATTATGATCAACTTGCAGAAAAGGTATGTAAGCTATGAGATCATAATAATCTTTTAAACAGAATAAAGCCTTTAAAAAAAACACTTAAAACAAGAAGGTCATGCAGACAAGGAAAAAAATGGTAGAAAAGTGAAAATTGAACCCCTCAAGAGCTTCATTATGTCACATGTTGTGAAAATGAAATTTATAACGTATTCCAAGTCTCAATTTTTAAATGATACAAAACTTTGGAATGTATCTACGCTTTTCTAACATATTCTTGGCGCATAGAGCTTTTGACGCGTTCCAATTTTGCGCAAAAGAATTCGTGGGAACGCAGCCATGTTGATAGAAAGTCTGGAAGTGTGCGTGACAATGAAATGGATGGGAGTGGCAAAGGCCAAATTCAGACTTTAGGCCAATGTTTTCCTGCACGTGACCTCTATGTGTCCCCCTACTTGCTTCCTAAACCATGCACGTGACATTTTCTCTTTCATCACTTTTCTTTCACAAACACTATTAATTGTATTTTCTTTTCTTTTTCAACATTATTTATTAGGAACCAAATTACTTCTAAAAAGATAAATTAATTACTTTAAGTTAATTTACAGATACTTAAAAAGATAGAAATTTATTTAAAAGAGTTTTTTGAAATAAAATTAAGTTTTAAATTAAGTACTTTGAGTGAAAACAATAGTTTATGAACGGTCAAACGTTAATTCAGTTGACTTTTTATTGTGTTTATTAATAGAAATTAAAATTTATATTTAATATATTTTTTACTCATATTCTTGTAAATATAATACGTACAATTATTAGTAGTATAAAACTTCAAATGTTAAATATTCAAATGTTATGCCAAAGTCATTATAATGAAGACTAGCTACAAATATGACCAACAAAATGATAAGATTGAAATTGTTAATTAAGTGTAATTTTCAATCATATGAGATACATATTATAGTTAAGATTATTATAAGGCAAACATGAAAGTTATATCCCAATTGCACTGTTTTTTTTTTTTTTACTTTATAAACAACTTGAATGCTTTTTAATATGAATTGAGATGTGTTAAGCAACTCGTTGTTCATAAAAATGGTTTCTTTCATTTTCGAAGAAAAAGGAAGTTGATATTCTCTTATACATCTTCACCTAATCTTGATACCCAACAAGGCCCACTTGAGAAGAAGACCGATTCCAAAGGTTCCCCACCCCAATTCCCATTTCTATTGTGATTTTTAATGTCTTTCTAACATAAATTTTAATGAAAAGTTATTTAAGATTCTATAATCAGAATCTTAAAAACACTTGTTTCCACAATCTACTATTTTTTGTCACCCTTTCTTCTGTTATGGTAGTTTTTGTTTACACTTCACTTCACTTCTTTCCACAAATCTTACCTCAAAGAGTGTTTTTGTGGAGGGTAAAATTTTGGGTCTCCATATTTGTGCTCAGATATTCAACCTTCACTAATATTTAAAGTTTAAATATGTCTTTATTTTATGTAAACATCACTTTATTTTATTTTTATTTTTATAAAACTATTTTTGGCATTTTCTAACTTCTTTTTTTTATCCCTTATTTGTAATTGTTGTTAGGTTAAAACTAAAAATGGAAAATATTATTAATATAATAAAAGTAATAAATATTACTTCAAATTAAGATTGTTTTTACGTAATTTATTTAAGCAATATATTTAGTATTTGATATAAATATATAAATAATATCATTATATATATTATTTTTATTTTTAAACCAATACTTTAAAATATTTTTTTATATTTTTAAGAATGACTAAATCAAATATACTAAAATTATATGTAATACTAAAAAATTAATATTATTCTTTTCTTTTTTTCTTTACATAATTCAAAACGTATAAATAATTTATTCAGCATATATTAAAATAATTTTGCCGCTAACCATTCTATACGTATAAATGATAAATTAATAACTAAAATACAAAGATTATATATAATTTTATTTTATTTTAATAATATTTTATAAGAAAAAAATAGCTATTATTTTAAAATAATATAAAATTTATTAGTCATAATATATTAAAAATACAATATATATGATTATCTTATTTATAAAAAAGTATTAAATATACTAATTGTTTTATAAATATTTTATATTTTATACTAAATTAACTAGTTAATAATAAGGTTAAAAATATTGATAAAATGTCAAAGATTAAAGAGTAACAAAAGGTATTAGAAAGATCAACATAAGACAGATAGTATCTACAAGGATTTTAAATTATATGATATAACTATTAAAAAATATATGTTAGAAAATATTAAAAATTTAGAAACTAAAATAAATAAATCATAATTGAATAAGTTAAAATATATTTAAACTCTTATTTTAATAAATCCAAAATAATTTTGTACATGAAAAAATTGTATTGATCACGTTTTTTTGGAAACTTTTAACTGAAACTATAAATTAATGTTTTTTTTTTCAAAGCACTTGATAGTTTTTTTAAAGCACAATTAATCTAAGTTATAGTTGTGCATTTCTAAAATTCAAACTTTTTTATCTATTGGGATTGTTATTTATTTCCTTCCATTAAAGTTTTATAAAATTGGATCTAAAAATATTATAACACACTTTTATGCGTTTCTTTAAAATATTTTTCATCATTATTTGATTTTATATATTTTGGGTTAATTATGTTTTTTCCTAATTTTTTTATAAATTAAATTTTAAACTTTAACAAAAAAAATTTAAATATTTTTAATTCTGATACTTTTGTCTAGTAAAAAATTTAAAAACATAATCTTACTGCAACTCATCAAAGATTAAAAAAAAGACATATTTTTTAAAAAAGAAACATATATTATTTTTTCTCTTATGTATAATAATAAAAAAAAGTATATATATATATAAAGTGAAAATGAAATTATAATATAAAATAATATAATCCTATAAAAAAATAATGTAATCCTATAAAATAATGTAATCCTATAAAATGTTGTGGTTGAATATTATAGATTTGTTGGGGAGTTGATTATCTTGACACATAATATTAAAAAATATTTAAATATAATTATTTCGCCAAATTCTTTAATAATATGATATAAGTCCTAAGAGTGTTAGGTTACAAAGTTAATAATGTTAGTTTAAAGAGTAACAACAAGGCAAAAACCCTATATTTTTTATTTAGAGGGTAAAAGTAAAATTTGTAAAAAATAAAAATAAAAATCATAACAAGTAGAAAAGAAATGGACGCCCCGAAGTAATTGAAAAAGTAATCTATCTATGTATCTATTTTGGTGCAAAGAAGAATAGTTTATGCCGTAAGGCAGAAGTTTGGTCAGAGTTGACACTTCTCAGAATTTATGTGGTGAAGTTGTTTTATTCTGAGAAGAGAGAAGAGGAAACAGAAAAACGTAACAAATGGATGAGATATTGAACAAGGTGGGGTCATACTGGTTCAGTCGCAAGGCCAGCAAGGAGTTTAACTCTGTCGGTGACGATATCAACGTACACACCACAATCCTTAACACCCTTTTAATCTTTTGGTAGATTCATTCTTAATTTTCTAGCTTTTGTTTGCAATTTTTTTTTTCTTGTCTTTTTACTTTTTCCTTTTCCATATGAGTGCTTGAATTTTATGGTTTTGGCTGTTATATTTGCTCCTCTTGGGAAAAAAAGTTGGAATTTAATTTCTTGCTCAACCTTGGAGTAGTGGTTTCGGTTGAGTGTTAACGGTTGAAGGAGAGACGTAATTATTGATTATTCACATGGGGTTCTATGAAAAAGGGATGTTTTTAATTGGTGATTTTTTTTAGGTTGTTTTAGGGAGGAGTGAGAAAAAATTATCTAGGTAGTTCATTGATTTGTGCTAAAGAAAATTTAGGTCTGGAATGGGAGGTGGAAGGTGTACTGAAAGGTAAAATCATGGTGCATGAAGTGGATTTGAGGTTTTGGTTTATATGAGTAGTGGGTGCACCCTTTTGAAATCCGGCAGTCACCTTTATCCATTTGGGTGTTAGGTAACAGAGTAAAAGTCTTAGGTGGTACCTGTTTACTGTGATTATATTTCTCTTATTTTACACACCCACAATGGATTTACTTGTAGGTGTTGCTTCGTTTTCCCTTTTTGGCTACTCGGAGTTCTTTGTTGGATAAAAACCAGGGCTATCTGATAGTTAATGTTGAGGTTGTTTTTAAAATCCTCCTGCTTTTGATATGTCGATGTCTTCTACATATATCTTGGGGAAGGTTGCAATGTGATCACCAGTTCTGAGATTGAGTTGAAACAAATTTTTAAGGCCTTATTTTGTTGAATAGAAAGTAGGCTATAAGCCAAAGTATTAAGGTAACTAAAACTTTGGCATTGGGTCCAGGATTAGAGGTCAATTCTCAGCATTGGAAGATTAATTTCATGATTCTTTTATTATGTAGGGGACATGAGATTAAATAAGAATTGGGAAATGTCAGGAAATATACTTTAAGGAGCAACAGGTAGTATGAGGGCCTAGTAACTTACAGAACGATATTTTAGGTTGTGAAACAAAGGAATAAAGAAGCTTCATAAATTTTGTGTTTTAAGTTTTCTTCTTTTTCTGGAAAGAAACAGGGGAGTTACAAACTAAAAGACACGAGGAATACTTGAGGATGAAGCATCTGCCAGTCTGCCAGTACAGAATAATAAAATTAGAAATGAAATCATAAATTCCGCTGGCTAATGCATTTGCTAATTGGTTAGTCTTTCTAAAGATATTTGATAACTTGACAGTTCCTGCTTGCTCCACAATGTGCTTGTTCTGATTCACAAGTGGAAAAATTGGACTAGTTGTAGGACAGTTATCTGTCATTAATGTAATGTCAGTTGGAGAATCTGATTCCAATAGGGTTTTCTGATACCCTCTTCCCCAAGCCAAATTCAGATCATGGAACAATCCCCATAATTCCGCCTGAGTGATTGTAGAATACCCCATTTTCATGGCATAAATAAGCAGTTATGAAATTGACTAAGTGGTCCCTCAAATACCCTCCACAACCAGACATACTATTTGCTCCACAACTTGTGTGTATAAGTTGATATTGTGAGATTATGTTTGTAGAACCATTTTGAAAAATTGTAATATATATCAGTGGTTCAGGTGAGAGATCAACCACCCTGAGATGATAGTGTTGATTATTATCAACCAAGTTAGAAATAGTGAGTGTAGTATGTAATTATATCAATGCATGCTCGAAGTTAGTTTGTTTTGTTGGAAAAAGGTGGTCGTTTTTCTTTGCTGGAAATTTTGAGCTTCACTTAATATGGGAAAAATATGTTTGATTGGTTCTCTGATTCTTCCTGCTTTGAGTATAACTAAAGAGCATACAAGATTTCTTTGATATGATTATTAGGGAAGATGCAACATTCAAGATTGATTTACGTCCTTGCTGTTCATAGAAATCATTTTATTCATTTGTGCATCCTGGGGCTGTAATGTTTCCGATAAATTATAACAAATTTTTAGAAAACATTTCATTGCTTATGTTTATATTAACACCTTTGCCACTTTTGATCAGTCACTGTCAACCAGTATTGAAGGGGGAACCAAATGGTTGGTGAACAAATTAAAAGGTTTGTATCTATTATGTTTCAATGTATTGCTCAAACATTTGTACAAGTATATGCTGTTGTAGGGAACTCTTTTAATATAAACTCATAATCCCTAATATAAATGCATCAAAGTTTCAAAGTCCTCTCTTGGATTGCCAAAGCTATTGTACATATTTCACCAATCCTATTCGCAATTAATTTTCATTTGACCTGAGTGTAAGTGGATTCTCCAGGATCAGTGAACTGGACTTACATGGAAATTTAGTATTTTTGAAATATGAATGGCTTTCAACTGTGTTTATATACATGTTGAGGGGGCACGCAGGGATTAAATTTGGAAATAGTCTAGTGTGAATAGGCATATATACTTCCACTGCTTTTTCAGAAACTATTTTTGCTGAAGAGCACTAGACACATTGAGAAGGACTTCAAAACATTCTAAACTGAAATTAATGTGACAAACATGCATTCTAAGGTATTCATGGTCTCGTCATGTATGACAAAGTCATCTTGTACAATAATAAATCTATTGAATTTTGATATTTGATCATTCCATAGCTAACCTAAGTTGTGGAAGTAGGATATTTACATTTGATCTTTAGTACATACAATTACATATTGAATTTATTAGCATCTCAATTTTACAGATATTAATAACCTGCTAAATCCTTTCAAAGATGATTTATGCATTCTTTTCCGCCCATTGCTTTCTCCAGTTGTTGTCATCTCACACTTCCCATTAGCAAATAAAATCAGAATAAATTAGTTAACCCTCAATCACTCCTCCCCTCCCCTTTTGGTTAACATTACCCTTAATGCTTCACAGGAAAGATGCAAAAGCCATTAACAGAGTTACTGAAGGAGTATGATCTACCCATTGGAATCTTTCCTCGTGATGCGACAAACTATGAATTCAATGAGGAAACAGGGAAGCTTGTTGTTTACATTCCTCAAGTGTGTGAAGTTGGGTACCGAGATTCATCAATCTTGCGGTTCTCCACCAGTGTGAGTGGTTATTTGGAGAAAGGGAAGCTAGCAGAAATAGAGGGAATAAAGACTAAAGTGCTGATCTGGGTAAAAGTAACCACCATTTCATCCGAGGGACCAAAGCTCCATTTCATGGCCGGTATGAAGAAAACAAGGAAAAGAGAGACATATGAGGTTACTAGAGATGGGATAAACGTAGATAAGTTCTAAAATATTTACATCAAGGTCTTGTTAAGTGGTTATACAGTTAGTAAGAGAAACTATCTGTTCTTGTGGACCATTTTATTCTATGATATGAATGTAGTGAGTGAACTTGGGATTTAATGGAGCCTCTCTTGGTTTCTGCTTGAAGATGAAGTAGTTTCAGTTTTTCTTGTTTGGGTTTATTAAGTTTTATTCAAAACTGGAACATATGGGTTAGTGAACAGTGTGCATGTTTGGATAACCATTCAAAAAGTACTTTTGTGTAATAAACATACTCTTGAACAAAAATAATATACCTTGTAGTTCGTAGCTTTTAATGTGGAAGTACTTTTAGAAGGTTCTAATGGTATCCAAACATGACTCTAGGATATTGTCACAATATTATTTTGGTACAGTAGGCGAAAATCTCATTCTCGCAGTCGTGCAACTCGCATCTAAGAGCTGTTAGGTTGTGATTTAAAAAAAAAAAGAAAAAAGAAAGCTTTCTGTCATTCAGTTATTATCTATATATAACACTCATTTCTTTCTCATTCAATATGAGTTGTTGTACCATTATTCTGTTCAAGATACTTTTCTCTAGCTATATAATTCTTTTGTTCCAACAATTGGTATTCAGAGCAAGGTTGGAGAATGGGACCTGGTGCGACTTTCTTTATCAATCTACCTGTTCTAAACGGAAAGAATTGGGCAAGATGGCGTGTGTAGATGAAAGCAATCTTGGACTATCAAGAGGTAGCAGAAATAGTTGAAGAAGAGTTTTCAGAGTTGGGCAAGAATCCAACGGAAGAACAAAAGAATTGTGTTGATTCATCAGTGTATTGACGAGACACATTTTGAGAAGATTGCAGGTGCTGCAACTTCCCGAGAAGTATGGCAGATTCTTGAGAAATGCAATGAAAGTGCAGAAAAATTGAAGAAGGTAAAATTACAAATCTTGCGTCGACAATATGAATTAATGCAAATGGAAAGCAACGAGAAGATAACAAAATACTTCAATCAGATTATTACTCATACGAATGTTATGAAGGGTTGTGGCAAGACGATGAAGGATAAATCAATTGTTGAAAAAATCTTGAGGACACTTAATACAAGATTTGACTACATTGTGGTCGCGATTGAAGAATCATAAAATATTAAAGATATGAAAGTTGAGGAACTTCAAGGCGACCTAGAGGCGCATGAACAACGTCTCAATGAAAGAGAGTATGAGAAACCCAATGAAAATCAAGTGTTGCAAGCTCAGACAATAAAGAAGAATGGTTCCAGTTCGCATGGGAGTTTCTGAGGCCATGGACGTGGAAGAAATTCTCGAGGAGGAGGATATGGAAGAGGTGGTCAAAATCAAGACCAAGAAAAGGATAATGAAGAACACGCTGATTGAAAACCTAACACTTGGCGTGGAGGAAAGAAGAAGACAAATAGGAAGCGAATCAAATGCTTCAACTACAATCGAATAGGCCATTGCTCAACAGAGTGTAAGGCAGCACCTAGTAACTGAGATCAAGAAGAAAATCATACCAATAATGGCTACCAAGCTCACATGGCCAAAGAGGAGAATAGTGAGACATCAGAAGAACCTGTGATCTTGATGATGGTCAAACAACCAGAAAGATTGAGTGATGAGATCTGGTATATTGATTCGGGATGTTCGAATCATATGACTGGTCATCGTGAATGGCTAGTTGAGTTTGATGAAAGAAAGAAAAGTTCGGTGAAATTTGCAAATAACAGGGTTATACAAGCTAAAGGTGTAGGGAATGTGATTGTGACAAAGCAAGATGGTTAACATGCCATTATTTCAGATGTTCTGTATGTGCTTGGGATGAAAAACAACTTGATTAGCATGGGTCAATTGTTGAAGAGAGGATACTCAGTAAGAACAGTTGATAACCTTCTTGAGGTGAGTGATGCAACGAAGGAGACTGTGATTAGAGTACCATTGGCCAGAAACAGAACGTTTAAGGTAAGCTTGAACAACCTTGATACTTAATGTTTTCTCGCTACAATATTGACTAATGAATCTTCGTTGTGGCACTTACGGTTGGGACGTTTGAACTTTAGAGACTTGAGTTGTATGAGTTCTAAGAAACTTGTGACCGGTCTTCCATTGATTAAAACTCCTATGAAATCTTGTGAAAATTGTTGGATTAGCAAACAGGCTAGAACATCATTTAGTAATTTCACTGCATCAAGAACCAGTGAAATATTACAGGTTGTATACAGTGACATATGTGGACCATTTGAAGTACTTTCATTAGGAGGGAATAAATATTTTTTGCTATTAGTTGATGATTTTAGCAGAAAAATGTGGATATATCTCTTGAAAGCTAAAAGTGAAGTGTATAAAACCTTCAAATAATTCAAGGAATTAGTTGAAAAATAGGTTGGTAAAGTTGTTAAGGTTTTATAGACTGATGGTGGAGGAGAGTTTGTTTCGGGTGAAATGGAAAGCTTATGTAAAGAACAAGGAATTGTACATGAGGTGGTAGCTCCATACACCCCACAACACAATGGGGTGGCAGAAAGAAGAAATTGCATTATTCTAAACATGGTAAGAAGTATGATTAAGCAGAAGAATTTACCTCATAGTTTCTGGGGAGAGGCTGTCATGACTGTTGTATACATGCTGAATCGTTGTCCCACCAAAAGATTGAATTAAATGGTTCCTGAGGAGACTTGGACTGGAATCAAGCCATCTGTCAAGAATCTAAAGATATTTGACTCGTTATGTTACAAACACATACTGAATCAGAAGAGGAGAAAGCTTGATGATAAAGGAGAGTCAATGATATTTGTGGGTTACAATTCTACAGGTTCTTACAAACTGTACAACCTTAAGGAAAAATAATTATGCTTTAGCAGAGATATTCATTTTGATAAGTCCAGTTCATGGTATGAAAAAGAGTCCACGATGTCAACAAAAGTGGAATTCAACTGGGAAGAAGACAGTCATACTAAGTGTATGGAAGAAAATAAAAAAAACAGATCAACAAGACAAAGAAGGTTTCCCTCGAATCTTCAAGATTATCAGGTATATCCCGACAACTCCATATCTGATGATGGAAATTTGGTCCAGCACTTGGCTTTGATAACAAACTCAGAACCAATAAGTTTTGATGAAGCAATCTCGAGTGAAGTATGGAGAATGGCCATGGAAGATGAAATAAGGAGTATTGAAAAGAATCAGACTTGGGAGATGGTAAGTCTGCTCAGAAATAAGGTACCTATTGCGGTAAAGTGGGTGTTCAAGACCAAACTCAAGCCAGATGGATCAGTTGCAAGATACAAAGTGAAATTGGTGGCAAAAGGTTTTATGCAGAGAAAGGGAGTTGACTTTTCAGAAGTGTTTGCTCCAGTGGCTAGACTGGAGACCATTCGATTGATTGTAGCTCTAGCTAGCTGGAAGAATTGGAGCCTGTGGCAGTTGGACGTCAAGTCTGCCTTCCTCAATGGAACATTGGATGAGGAAGTGTTCATTACTCTACCTCCTGGATTTGTAAGTAAGGGCAATTAAGAGAAAGTGTTAAGATTGAGAAAGACATTATATGGCTTAAGACAGGCACCGAGGACATGGAACAAAAGGATAGATGATTTTCTGCATAAAGTTGGGTTCATGAAGTGCACCACAGAGTATGGCGTGTATGTCAAATCATTGAATGTCATAGAGGTAGTATTAATTTGTCGGTATGTGGATGACCTTTTGGTCACTGGAAGCAACTCAACTTGCATAGATTAGTTAAAAGAAGATCTGAAAAGAGAGTTTGAAATGTTCGATTTAGGAGCTTTATCATACTTTCTAGGATTGGAGTTTGCTTATGATAAAAAAGGAATCATCATGCATCAGAGAAAGTATATCTTGGAAGTATTGAAAATGTTAAATATGATGGACTGTAATCCAGTGGCAACACCTGCAGAACTTGGTTTGAAACTCATACAGGATGGAAGAGAAGCCTCGGGTGGATGAAACTTTATATAGGCAGATGATTGGAAGCCTACGATACATATGTTATAGTAGACCGAAGATCACATACAATGTTGGAATTATGCACATTGAAGCGGTGACACAACTGACAGGAAAAGCACATTAGGACAAGTCTTCATGTTATCTGGATCTCCAATATCTTAGAGTTCAAAGAAGCAAATGGTGGTTGCTTTTTCAACTTGCGAGGCAGAATATATTGTTGCGTGTTCTGCAGCCTGTCAGACATTGTGCCTCACGACACTACTCAAAGAATTGAAGATATTTGCTAATGATACCCTGAGATTATTGGTAGATAGCAAATCAGCTATTGATCTAACCAAGAACCCAGTATTCCACGGAAGAAGTAAACACATCGACACCAAATTTCATTTTCTACTAGATTAAGTCAGCAAGAGAAGCATCAAATTGAAACATTGCAGAACTGAACTTCAATTAGCTAATATCATGACTAAGACTTTGAAATACAAGATGTTCAATGAGACGAGGAAGTTCCTAAATATTTTTTATTTTCATTTGTAAACAATTTTAATCAAAGGAGGGTATTAGGTTGTGATTTAAAAAAAAAAATTCTATTATTCAATTTCTATTGGGATATAACACTCATTTCTTTCTTATTCAATATGAATTGTTTTACCATTAATATGTTTAATATACTTTTCTCCATATGTATAATTCTTCTGTTCCAACAATAGCCAGATAAAACACATTGGTTCTAACTACTTGACATATAACACATGACTAATCTAGGTTTCTGTTTTAAATCTGCGACTTTTGTTTGCCTGGGTTATATGAGATAAAGTTGGATTATGCAACTCATACCTGAGTCCATAAAAAGGGTTGGGTTATATGAAATCCAACACGTACTCATCTACCATTTCTCTTGTATTTCTCGTCTCCCACACGTTGACACACGTTCTTGCCTCATACTGCAAACTTCAATCACTCTCGTTGTAAATAGTAAGTGATACATTCATTATTATAAAACTAATAATCTTTAACTCCATTCTTTTTTTATTTATTTAGCATAAATTTTAACAATTAAATTGATTTAAATAAAACTTAATTTAAATTATTAGATATAATAAATTTTATTTCAATGTACATTTTATCTAAGTTAAATTATTAAATTGATATAGATTTAGTTTAATCTTAAAAATTTAAATTAATTGAATCTAGTTAAATAAATTAAGATTTTAAATATAATATATATTAAATTATTATTACTCTAATTACTAATAATATGTTTTTATTAATTCATGATTTTTCTCATTAATTTACAATTAACAATAATGATTTACCGTATCAAAACATTGGTTAGAGTTCATACTTTAATTAAAAGAGAGTTCCATTCTTCAATAAAGAGATTAATTACATTAAAGGGTTGAAAAAATATAATCTATTATAATGGAATTATTATTCCACTATGTCATATGCATGAGATAATCCAAAGCAACAATGCTTAATTCAATTTTTGGTGATAAGATAATATTGAAATCAACATAGCAATTATATAAGTTGTTGAAGGAGAAAAAAACGCAAACTAAATTGGACTCCATGTATTATTACCCTTTGCATAAATTTTTTGGCTTTAGTAAAAAAGACAATATAGAAGGACTTAGTTTTATTGACTTTATCTATAATTATTATATTACCTTGAATTTGTTAACAAAAATTTTACAAAGAAAAGAAAATTGATAAGATATGTGATTACATGATTTATTAAGAGAAATGAATAAAGTAAGAATAAGTTGTCTAATGCAGTTTTACTCATAAATCAGGATTCCTCTTATTCCTATTGTTCAATATAATAATATAGGAAAAGTAAAAATACACCAGTCCGAGATCGAACCCAGATATGTGCATTCAACAAAGCACAATTTTGCCACTGCAAACCTAGAATATATAATTTCATTTGTGACAATTTATTTTAATTATTCAATATTAACTGATACATTCTTTATTATAAAACTAGTATCATTAAACTCCATTTTTTATTATTTAATAGAAAAATAATAACTAAGTTAATTAAAATAAAACTTAATTTGAATTCTTAGATATAATAATTTTTATTTCAATGTCAAATTTATCCCAGTTAAATTTTAAAAATTAAAATAAATTCAATCCAATTAATATTTAAAATCTCATATTTTATCAGATCCAAAAAATCGAATCTATATTTTTAAAACTAATATGAATTCATGAAATTTCTCATTATATCAAAATTAACAATATTATTTTTTCTCATAAGGAAATATTTTATATTATAAAAATAAATATGTTTTAGAAAAATCTAGGATGAATAAGTCATATTTGAAAACTAATTTTTCATAGAAAAAGTTATGGTTTAAAATATAAATACTCTTAAGCAATAAAATTCAGATGTTAAAACATAGATTTAAAATAAAAATCATATTTTAAATCACACTTTGTATTATTTTAAAATAAAAGATGAAGTGTCTTTTAGAACATTTTAGTTTAGAATCACGACTTATGATATATTTTTTTCTTTCAAATTTTATCAATTTGTACAAATTTAAAAAATAAATCATATCTTTAAGAAGACAAAACAAGCCAATTAAGATTTTAAGTTATACACGAACTTGAACACAATTGGAGCGTATTTACCAAGATAATAATTATTATTTAGCTCATTTTATTGTTATTTTTCTAAACCAAATAGGAAGAAATCAATTATTATTTTATTTATTAATTAAAAAAAAGATAAATAGATTTGATGATAACAAAAAAATACATGATTTTGTTGATGTCAATTATAATCACAAAATTTAATGAGTGGTTAGTGAGATAAGTGGACCATAACAATAATAAAAATAGGAATAAGTTAATTTTTATGATGGTTATTGGGTAATTATTTAAGAAATTTCTTTATTTTGAGAGCCAATAATTTATACAAGAAAAAAATTAATAATAAAAATAAGTAACCATAATTTATATATTGTTATTGGATTTTCTCAAATAAGGAATCATGTACAATTTCGACAAACGAAGCAAATAGAACATTCAATTTTGCATTGAAAAAAAATTAGAATTTCATAACTTTAATTATATATGAAAATACTAAAAATTTATTTAATTATTATAATATTATAATTTAAGTATAAATAAAAGTTTTATATTAAAAAAATTATAAATTTAAATAAGATATAATAAAAAAAACTCACAGATATATTATCTTTAGATTTAATATAATATCATTTTTTAATTAAACACAACAATTATATTAACTCGGACGGTAAGATAATATTAGAGAAAGATAAAAAAAAACACAATGCTAAAAATTTAAAATATTTATCTTTTATTTTATTTTATTTAAACTTTTAAGTACTGAAACTTAAACTTGGTCATTTTTAATTTAATTTAATTATTTATGGATTTTTTAATATAATAAACAAATGAAAATTAAATTAAATTAAATTAAATAGAACTTAATTTAAATTATTAGATATAATAAAATTGATTTCAAATGTAATTTTTATCAAAGTTAAAATGATTAAATAGATTTAGATTTAGTTTAATTTAATTTAAATCTCAATTTAAACTAAATCATAATAAAATCAATTTAATCTAAATAAATAAATTAATATTTCAAATATAATCTACTTTATTTGATCTAAATTGAATATATGTTAATTTTTTGAAAATCAATCTATATCTTATATTTTAAATTATCACTGTTCTAATTATTAAGAATGAACATTTCTCATTAATTTACATTTAATAATATTGATTTAATATTATCAAAATATTTATTTTTCATGAAAAAATATTTTATATTATGAAAATAAACACATTTTAAAGCATAATTTTTAATAAAAAAAGCTATGGTTTAAAATATGAATTTTCTTAAATAACAAAAGTTATATTTTAAAACATAAATTCAACATAAAAAAATAAAATCATATTTGAAATCACACTTTCAATTATTTTTGAATAAAAGATAAAGTTATCTTTTCAAAATATATCTTTTAGAAATAACTACTTACAATTTTTAAAAATCTATCCATTTATGCAAATAAAAAAAATCACATCTTGAGAGGAAAAAAAGAAAAAAGAAAAAAAGAAAAACCTAAAGATAATAAACCAATATTTTTATCTGAACTTTACAGACCCCAACGTGATCGATATTTGTGTTATAAGAACATCTCCTTCCTTTTATTTTGATAACCGTTACGAACTGCGCCACACTACTACTATTCACTTCAACCGTTGCCTCCACCGGAACCCTCGCTCGCTCCCAATGTCCACCGCCAAATCGCGCAATTTCCGCCGCCGCAGTGGCGGGGATACAGAAGCCAATGAAGAAGACGGCGACACCTCCACCCTCTCGTCCAAGCCCCCTTCCTCCGCCAAGCCCAAGAAGCCCCGAGCTCCCAAACTCCTCAGCTTCGCCGACGACGAAGAGAACGAAAACCCTCGTCCACGATCCTCAAAACCTCAACGTTCCACGAAACCCTCTTCCTCTCACAAAATCACCGCTCTCAAGGACCGAATCGCGCATTCCTCCTCCCCTTCGGTTCCTTCCAATGTCCAACCCCAAGCCGGAACCTACACCAAAGAAACCCTCCGCGAGCTTCAGAAGAACACCCGAACCTTGGTCACCAGCAGCAGCTCCTCTCGTCCCGAGCCCAAACCCCCCGCCGAACCTGTCATCGTCCTCAAGGGCCTCGTCAAACCTGTAGCTTCGGAGCCCCAGGGTCGGGAATCGGACTCCGAAGGGGATCAGAAAGAGGTTGAAGGCAAATTGGGTAGCTTAGGACTTCAGAATGGGAAGGACTCGTTCTTCCCCGATGAACAAACCATCAAGGCTATTCGAGCGAAGCGGGAGCGCCTCCGGCAAGCGCGCCCCGCTGCGCCGGATTATATTTCGTTGGACGGTGGCAGCAATCATGGTGCTGCCGAGGGGCTGAGTGATGAGGAGCCGGAGTTTCGGGGCCGGATTGCTATGTTTGGGGAGAAGGTGGAAGGTGGGAAGAAGGGGGTGTTTGAGGGGGTGGAGGAGAGGAAAGTGGATGTGAGGTTTAAGGAGGAAGAGGATGATGACGATGAGGAGGAGAAGATGTGGGAAGAAGAACAGTTCAGGAAAGGGTTGGGGAAGAGAATGGATGAAGGGTCTGCTAGGGTTGATGTTCCTGTGCAAGGTGCTCAACAGCACAAGTATGTCGTTCCCTCTACATCAACTGTGTATGGTGCTGTTCCAAGTGCAGCAGCATTAGTGAGTCCTGGCATTGGAGGAGCAATTGAATCGATGCCGGCTTTTGATGTCTTGCCTATATCGCAGCAAGCCGAGAATGCGAGGAAAGCTTTGGTCGAGAATGTGAGGAGGCTTAAGGTATGTCCAAACTTGGTTGTATATCATGCTAAGTTGTTACTTGTCGAATTTGTGAGCTTGCTTATATTTAGTCCTTTAAGTCCAAATTCTAAGATGTTATTGAAATATATCCTATAATCTAGATTTGTTATTGGATCAGTTCTGATATCAATTGACAAGCACCCAAGTTCTTGGGGGACCTACTATCTAAATCTAGCTATTATGGGGGAGAACTGAACACTTACATATTCCACTAAACGTCCCATACTACTCGATGTAGGATTTAGGCACCCCATAATGTCCAAATCCCTGTCAATAGTGTTAATTAAATTTAAAACTTTTATGGCTAGGTTATAGCAGGTTAATTATGTAAAAATATCGAAATAAGCTGAGTAAAACTCACTATCCTCAAATTAAGGGACCGAACCAATTTGCTTGGGGAACTTTTCTGCATTATAAGACCAAGCTTTAGTTAACAGGCCAGCTTTAACTCAAACTAGGGCAAATTACAAACGTATATTGTACGCAATGTATCTGGTGAGCACTATATATATATATATATATATATATATATATATATATATATATATATATATATATATATATATATATTTTGCAACTTGATGTGGTAAATGAGAAAATTTATCTTGTTCTTGAATTTCATCACTTGAACCTAAGTCTAGGGTATAATACAGAACTCAAGTTATTTTCATTGTAATTTATCAAAGTTTAGGGGGGTGCATTTGCACACCCTGAGTTGTACTTATTTCCACCAATGTGTATGATAATCTCATTCCTTTCATGATATAATTTCCTTTGGTTTAATTTGTATGAAGGTCAGCAATTAGAATTTTGTTACATTCAAGTCTTTAAATTGTGAAAAAAAAAAAGTGTCAATCCTTGAAACCAGTAAATTGTTTCATTTGATAAATGTCTAGAATGATACAGTTATGGGTCACAGTTGCCTTGAATATTACTCTGGCAGAAATGTAGACAAATTTATCCTTTAGTGGATTGATATGTTTTCCGAATTTATCATTTTTTTTAATAACAGGAATCTCATGGAAGAACTATGTCATCATTGAGTAAAACTGATGAAAATTTGTCTGCCTCCCTTTTGAACATTACTGCACTTGAAAATTCATTAGTGGTAGCTGATGAGAAGTACAGGTTTATGCAAAAGCTCCGAAACTATGTCACAAATATATGTGACTTTTTACAGGTAATTGTATTTCTTGTATTCTTTTGTTTTCCTAGATCCTCGTCCTTCATAATTTAATATAAAGTGGGTCTGGGTACCACTATAATATAGTTCTGTTTCCCCCTCTCATCATGTCATGCTGAAAGATGTAGGAAATATACTAGTTTTGACTTAAAATGGTTTATCTTAGTAAAGTATACAAATGTCAAAACCAAAACCCATTACCAAAATTGTGTGCTTTTACATGTTTGAATTGCTGGAGCAATCCCAATCCCCATTGTCTGCTGAAAAATAAAAATGTTGCATACAATTAAAGACATATTAATTAATGATCAAAATTCAAAATTTGAAAACACACTTCAGTACCAACAAATGTCAAGGAATCAAATAAGTTTGATCCTTTAAGACTTCAAGCAACTAAATACTAGAAATCAAATAAAATATTTTTCTTTATAGTTACTAAAATGGGGTTTCTGATTGGATTAAATGATGAAGGATTTGAAATCAATAGATTTTCTCCCATGTACAGAATAATGGCTGTGATTTCTTGCAAAAGTGGTGAAAAACTGCTCCACAGTGTGGGATTTACCACTATGCTATAACCACTTAGAAAACATGACAATACTTCTAATAATGTCGAAAGAATATGTATTTTCTTATTCCTGGATATCTAAAAGTTGTCTCTTAATTGTCTTCTTATTTTTGAATGCTTTTATGCATGGTATCATTCATTGAGGCTGCAACTAAAGTTATCCTTTGTCTTTTGCTTCAGCATAAAGCTTTTTACATTGAGGAACTTGAAGAGCAGATAAAGAAACTTCATGAAGATCGTGCATCAACGATTTTTGAAAGAAGAACAGCTAACAATGATGATGAAATTATTGAGGTAGAAGCAGCTGTAAAAGCTGCAATGTCAGTATTAAACAAGAAAGGTAACAATATCGAAGCTGCCAAATGTGCTGCTCAGGAAGCATATGCTGCTGTAAGAAAACAAAGAGATCTGCCAGTTAAATTAGATGAATTTGGTAGAGATTTGAATCTTGAGAAACGGATGCAAATGAAAATGAGGGCTGAGGCTCGTCAGCGCAAGAGGTCAAAAGTATTTGATTCTAATAAGCTGGCTTCCATGGAATTGGATGATCATAAAATAGAGGGTGAATCAAGCACTGATGAGAGTGATAGTGAGAGCCAAGCATATGAGTCACAACGTGATTTAGTGCTTCAGGCTGCTGATGAGATTTTTGGTGACGCTTCTGAGGAATATGGTCAATTATCTTTGGTCAAAAGAAGAATGGAAGAATGGAAAAAAGAGTATTCATCAAGCTATAAAGATGCTTATATGTCATTGAGTCTTCCACTGGTCTTCTCTCCATATGTGAGATTGGAACTCCTGAGGTGGGATCCACTTCACAAGGGTATAGACTTTCAAGAGATGAAATGGTATTGAACTATTCCCCCCCTTCACTTTGTTACTATTCTTTCTTGAAAATTTTCAGAGGCATTATTGGGGGTCACGGGTTGTCTTTATGAGTCACTTAAGAATTCTAATTTTTTTTTCATATAAATGACTACTTCATCCAATGTTTCAAAAAATTCCATTTCATTTTTTTTTACAAGTTCAAATTAAAGAAATTCAATTTGTTTAATCAAATTTCTCAATCCCCTCTCTTTTTTTTGTTCACTACATATTATATACAATAAAAGATTATCTGCATAAAGATTCTAAGTTGGAAAAAATAGAAACTAAGATATAGAATTTTTCAGGAAGGGATTCAAAAATATTATTTTATAACTGCATTCCTTAGCTTGATTAATATATATCATAGTTATCAGAATCTTATGATTCACTATTCGAAGTTATGATTTAATACATTTTGGCTATCTACGTATCTCAAGATGAATCTTAAATGATTTGATTCAATGATTCATATGTTTTTCACTTTTTCACAAATTCTTAAGAAAATTTTAAAAAGTCACATGAGCTTAAATTTTTAAATGAAAAGGAATTTGAAAGAACACTTGTGAACTTATCCTATTTGATTTTTGTTACTCACTCACATATCTATAATTAGCTATTTAATTGTTTTTTTTTTATTTCCATTCTTCTAAAATGAATACCTCACGAACTTATATATAACTAATTTTTGTTTTGTATGACTTTTGCTTTAGTTTTTCTATATATTTGTAGTTTATATTGTTAACATTGAACACTATATATATATATATATATATATATATATATATATATATATATATATATATATATATATATATATATATATATATATATATATATATATATATATATATATATATATATATATTTTAAGTTTCTTTCATTGTACTTGAATCTTACAATTTGAAACAAAATTATGGGAAAATAACTCACCGATTCATGTTTCAAATTTCGATTCGATAACCTTGATATATATATATATATATATATATGCATGTTACGGGAGTATCTTTTACCTTTCATGTTTCGTCAATTTATAGTGAATTGAATTTTTCTTTCTCTCTTTTAATATTCAGGTATAAATTATTGTTCACTTATGGTTTGCGTGAAGATGGAAAAGATTTTGTTCATGATGGTGGAGATGCTGACCTTGAACTTGTCCCAAACTTGGTGGAAAAGGTTGCACTTCCTATTCTGCACTATGAAATTTCCCATTGCTGGGACATGCTTAGTCAACAGGAAACGATGAATGCCATTGCTGCTACAAAATTGATTGTGCAACATATTTCTCATGAAAGCGAAGCTCTTGCTGATCTGCTAGTTTCCATTCGAGCACGCTTGGCTGATGCTGTTGCTAATCTTACAGTATGTACCCAAAATCAACATTTACATTTAGTAGTTAGAAGTACATGTGCATTTATTTTATCTTTAAAAAAGGTAGAAAACACTGTATATATAGGTATCTGCTTTGTTCATTTTATGATGATCTGCATTGCTAGCTATATTTGGATTTATATAGGTACTTGGAATTATTAAGCATTTTTGGATATATTTATCACATTGTGTACTCTGTAGGTCCCCACATGGAGTCCACTGGTACTAGTTGCTGTTCCAGATGCTGCTCGAGTTGCAGCATATAGGTTTGGTGTGTCTGTTCGATTGTTGAGAAACATTTGCTTGTGGAAGGATGTGTTTTCAATGTCTGTGTTAGAGAAGCTTGCTCTAGATGAGCTTTTGTTTAGTAAAGTTCTACCTCACTTAAGAATCATATCAGAAAATGTTCAAGATGCCATAACGAGAACAGAACGGATTATTGCTTCCCTATCTGGAGTCTGGGCTGGGCCAAGTGTCATCGGAGACAGAAAGTATGATGATGATACTTTTTAAAATTGTTGATTACATTTGTTTCTTTTGTGAAGACATTTTGCACGTTCTTTAGACTCATTTCACATTACGGTCAGTTTGGGTACTGTCACTGGGGACAAATTGGGTACTGAATAATTGTGTACTTACGTTGGGGGGTTAATGGAATTGGTGGGGGTTTAAGTAGAGGATGTAGGTTTAAGATGTTACAGCCACTATGAGTTGCTTCTTAGAGGTTATGAAGTCATTTACCTCTGGTTTGATGTCATTTATTATATCTTATTATATGTAAAATGTGAGGCATTCCCGTTATGACTTTTGGTCAGTAGTCTAATACTTTCCCTGTCTTCCTCACATTGTAGACACAAATTGCAGCCTCTGCTGACTTATGTGCTATCACTTGGAAGGATTCTGGAGAGAAGAAATGTACCAGAGAGTGACACAAGTCATCTAGCTCGTCGATTAAAGAAAATACTTGTTGACCTCAATGAATACGATCACGCTAGGACCATGGCTAGAACCTTCCATCTCAAGGAGGCATTATGAGATCACTGGGGAAATGGGAATTCATGTTTCATTATACTTGTTCTCTTTCTTTGTGGTTGAATCAGGCCTTAAGAACCCTTCTCAGGTGCAATTGTGGAAATGAACTTAAACTATTTACGTGATTAAATATGATGCTTGAAATTTAAACGTGTTTGATATTATTCATGTGAATGAACACACACAGGCATGCCCTTTTGGGAGCTGTGAAAAGTGAAAAATTTTAAGTAGGGCTTTCTTCAAGGAGGAGTGTTAAATAGGGTTAGGAAGTTCATTTATGTGTGCTATAGAAAATTTAGGTCGGATATGGGAGTGGAATGTTTACTAGAGGGTGAATGTATATTGTGTGCATCAAGTGAAGTTGAGGTTTGTTTGAGTAGAGGGGTGCATCCCTGTACAATCAGGCTGTGTCACCCCCATCAATCCGGGTACGAGTTTTGATAAGTATGTAAAAATCCTATGTAATACCTTGTTAGTCGATATACTGTGATTACAAATTATAATTTTATTGTTTTACACAGCCACAATGAATTTACTAGTAGGTCATTCTATTTTTGGCTTCTTTACTGAATAAAGTTATATGTATGAGAGTTAGTAATGAGTTTGTTTTTCAAATTCGCGCATTTTTTGTATGGGATATCTTTAACATAAATCTTGGGGAAGGTGGCGATGTACAAAATTTCATTTATCATGTACTGTGAATATTTGTGAATGAAGACAGCGAGAGTTGCACATCAATATTAACTACATATACACACAAGTTGCACCACCGTAGTTTGGAGAAACATAATCTCGCCTGAATCACTAACGTATGGTAAAAAACATGCATTGTAAATCGTCATGCATGATTGTGCACTAAATCTTGGATGTTATACCGTGGGTCGTGGAACTACGAAATAACTTTACGAAGAAAACATAAAAACGATGTGATAAAAAATTTCAAAACTGAAGAAAATATAAACCTGCACCAGCCGGGAATCGAACCCGGGTCTGTACCGTGGCAGGGTACTATTCTACCACTAGACCACTGGTGCGCTGATATTACATGTGGATAAAAATACTTAATTATCAAAAACTGTAACCATTCCTGGATATACAAGTGGTGGAGATTAATTACTTTTTATTGGAAGCACTTTATATTAATAAAAAGAAAAAATTATGCAGTTTTGTTGTGCACTCTCTATGCCTGAAATGAAATGCATTAGAAGACACAGATCTTTTGAGTCTTGAAAACAAAACCCTAAATATGGCGTAGATTTTAATTTATACATTCCAGCCTGTTATTCACAAAAGAAAAGAAGTTACGTAACATATTTTACGAGTATTCTTTCTAAATATGAAAATCACTTTTCCTTTTGCATCTTCACTGTCTATAATATGAATCACGCCAACCTCATCTGAATGTTTTGTTATTTTATTTTTAAAATGTTAAAAAATAATTTCCGTTCATTTCTTTTAAACCTTTAGAGTTAAATAAAACTATAAATTTGGAACAAAATTTTAAGATTTAAATAATATATTTTCACCTTATATTTATTTATTTATTTTTTGCTATTATGTTTTTAAAATTTTATAAATTAAGTGATGTTTGATTGTTTGATGTGACGTTTTAGAGAAAAACATTGCTGGAATATTTTTAATGAATTCAATATTATTTTTAATTTATTTAAAATCATTTTTAAAAATTAATAACGTTTCAAAAAGATAAGAAAATAAACAACGATTTTTAAATTATGATTGAGTTTAATAGTAATTTAGTTATAATATATATATATATATATATATATATATATATATATATATATATATATATAAGATATAATAAATATTCAGGTATGAAATCATTAATAATATAATTATTTCATTCATACAAAGTTTAATGATTTATATAAATATATTTTCTTCCAATTTTTTTTTCAAAAATAATTTGTGTGTAACTAAATCTACGTTTACAGAGGAAACAGTATAGAAATTTATATAAAAAAAAAAGTATATTTGTCTCATGTTGACGATATTAATGAAATATTAAAATAAACCAGCGTTCAAATATTTATATCTTATTTATTATGTATCAATATTTAAATATTTATATAATATATATGTATAATGTTTAATTATAATATCTAATTAAAATTTCTATATTTTTTTCATATATTTTTTTTTCAAAATCCAGTTTAATATAAAATAGAATTTATAATATTTCTAAATTTAATATTTAATGACAAAATAAATATATTACTAATTAAAATGTTTTAATTTTTTAAATATATCGCACATTCTCTCTGATAGTATCACACTTGTTTTTTATCCTATTATATATATTTGACAAAAAATAATAATATATTATAAAGTATGATAATAAAAATATTAAAGAAATATATTTTTTAAAGAGTATAGAGTGTGAAACACATGTACTTTGTTTCTGCTTTTTTTTATTACAAAAATTGATTAAGATACTAAAAATAGAATTAAAAATTATAAATATTATAAAAAATAATTAAAATCTATGATTGAACAAAGTATTATAAAAATAAGGGTTAATAATGTTTTTAGTCTTATATTTTTATTATGTAAAATTGAAAATAGTTCCTTTTCACTTAAAAATGATTCTTATATTTTTGAAATGATTGAAATAGGTCCTTATTTTAAATGGCATTAAGTATATGCTTGACATTTCTAATAGAAATAGTATGACTCATTCATTATTTGACACGTATAATTATTTAAAAAAATAAAATTAAAAGGTATCAAACTTTTAAAAGTCATTTAAATCCATATTTATAACATTTAAAAAGAAATTTAAACTTCTCCGTCATTTATCAGTCATTTAAACTTCTCTACCTTAATTTTTGGAAATGAAAACCTTAGTTATGGTATATCACCGTCAGTACACTCGCTATTGTGCACCACTCGTCACATTGTTAGTCGAACCACAACGGATGAAATCCTTAAACTTCAAAGTCACATTGACTTCATACAATCTTTATAGAAAAAGTGGAAGAAAGAAAAGACTTTTAGTGTATGACAAGAAAAGAAGAGAGAACGAAAGGTAGTCTGTGACGAAAAAAGAAGAGAGAATGAAAAATGGTTGTGACGAGATATGAAGAATTTTGGTGCATGAGGAGAAAAGAAAAACTTTTACTTTTTAATTTTATTTTTTTGTTTTTTTTAAATAATAATCTCTATTTTTTTTAAGAAAAACTTTGTTTTTTTTTAATAATTACAGGTGTCAAATAATGAATAAGTCATATTATTTCTATTAGACAAGTCATCATATATTTAATATCCTTTAAGATATAAATTTATTCCAATAATTTAAAAAATATAGGGATATTTTTATGTGAATTTTAACAGAATAACTATTTCCAATTTCACATCAAATACAAGAACTAAAAACATACTTAACCCTAAGAATAATGATCAAAATTAAAGATAGAATAGTTTAAAATAAAAAATAAAAATAATTATCAAAATTAAAGATAGAATAGTTTAAAATAGAAAATAAAAAAACCAAAAAATAGTTATATAACATAAAAAAGTTGAATAAGAAAGAATTGTGTGAAAGAATTAGTTACACCACTTAATCTCTCTTTTTTTATGTAAAAAAATTACAAATAAAATTATTGTTTTAATCAGTTAAAATTTTAATTATATAATATAAAGATAATATATATATATATATATATATATATATATATAATATACAAATCAATATTTTTATTAATATATACAGATACTATAATAATATACGTTAAAATAAGAATATTTTTTCAATAAATATATAATCATAAATATAAATATATTATTATTATTATTATTATTATTATTATTATTATTATTATTATTATTATTATTATTATTATTATTATTATTATTATTATTATTATTTTCTGTCAATATACTAAAGAGAGACATTCTTATAAGTTATAAGAAATATATTATAGGATTTATATGTATCTACTTGCTGTAAAAACATGTCAGGTTTACATTTCTCATATTTTCTAATCATCCTTTTTTGTAGTCCTTTATTAATTATGTTTCAGTTAATGAAAAAATAAAAATTAATTAATATAATACGATAACCTATATTATCTTAATTTAAGATAATCATATATTTAAGATATAATACAATTAATATATTTTTATTTAATATAAATAAGATAATTATATATTTTTTATTTAATAATTTACTTTTAATATTTATTTTCATTAAAACAATTTTAATTTTCTTATAAACTTATAATTCAATTTTCCTACATTAATTTTGATATTATAATTTTGAGTGGTTGTAAAACTATTTATTTCTAATATATCATGAAAAATATGAATTTTATTTCTGAGGACAAAACTAATAATTTTTTTTTTATATTTTAAAGGTTACTAATTATAATACTATGTACAAAAAGATATTATATTTTCATCTTTATAAAGTTTAAAATAATTTTATTTTTAAGGTATCAATATATTTTCTAACTAATCATTCTTCACTTATGAACAAATGATTATAAATATAATATAATAAAAATAAAATTATTGAATGAAAATGTTAAAAAGAAATGTATATATATAATTAATTTATTTCATAATAAATATACTATATAATTAAATTAGGTATTAAAAATTTAAGAACATTTTTTATTAAGGATACTTGTTTTAAAAAATATTTATAAATTTTTTTAAAGAATTAATCTTTACTAAAATTTAAATTATTTTATAAATTGATCATAATTTAAAGTTAAACTATTATTTTAAATTTATATTAAATAATTAAATTATTTTTAAGTTATCAAATCAATATAAATAAAAAAAATCATAAAAATATATATGAAAGTTATCCATGAAAATAAAAATTGTAAAAATTTAATATAAATTATTTAAAAATAACAGTAATACAAAATGTCTCATAAAAAGATAATATTTATAAACAATATTATATATTTTAATTATGATAATTTAAATATTTTTATACTTTAATTATAGTAATTAATATTAAATGTCTCATAAATTATAGTAATATAATATATTTTAACGTTATTATATGTTATTAGATATGATAAAATATCTTTAGAGATTTTGACAGCAAACAAAATAAATATCTCCTTTGAACTTATTTCATACATGAAATTCATTGTAATTCAAATTTAAAACCCTATGATTTAAGGACACCACATATTCTATTATAAATTTTAATAATTAGTAACACACAAAAAAAAAATGTTAAATAATATATTGCTAGATGTTTCTGAGTTAAAGTAGGGAACACGTGTCCCTACATTCATAGAAAGATGCCATAAGTCTTACGTGGAAGGAATATCTCCTTTATCTCTCCTTTCACACTTTCACCACGAGCTCGCCACACGCCCCTTTCATCACGCAATCCTACCCGTCCACCTGTTCCTTATCCAACGCTTCAAATTCTCAGATCTCACTCTCCAAATTCTCAATATACCCCTCGTTTCTCCTACATATACCTTCTTTGTCCCACGTAACCTTCACCACCACAACTCAGCCTCAACTCTTAGCCGCCATTGTTCCTTCTTCTTCCATCCTTTCAGTTCTCAACCTTTTTTATTTTCCTTTTTGAGATTTTGCACTCATGGCCCTTGCTCCTTCCCAAGTTTCCCCCTTTTCTGGGTTGTTTGTCTCTGACGGTGTTGGGGGTGCTGTGAGAAACCCAACTTGTTCTGTTTCTTTGAGTTTTTTTAATAAGAAAGCCGGAAACAGAAATCTTGCGGTTTGTGCCTCAACTGTGCCTCTCACTGGGGTGATCTTCGAACCCTTTGAGGAGGTTAAGAAGGAAGAGCTTGCTGTTCCCACTGCTCCTCTGGTTTCGTTGGCTCGTCAGTTCTACGCTGATGAGTGTGAATCTGCAATTAACGAGCAGATAAAGTGAGCATCTCTATGATTTTAATTTTTTTTTGTTCTGTTAATTTTGGAGTATTTACTTTTGTTTTTATTTTCTGTTTTGTTATCTGTTCAGTTTTTAATTATGAATTTGTCACTGTGTTTTCTGTGTCCTGTTTAAAAAGATTTGTTTAAACAGATTGAAAAGGTGTCAAATTATTATTGAAAAAAGAAAAAAGAAGCTAAAAGCTCTTACAGTCTGTGCTTTTGTTAATATAAGCAGATCTAGTAATTATTTTTTATATCTGCTCGTCTAAAGTTAGTATTTTGCATTATTATTGATTGAACTCGAGAAAGTGCTTTTCCTTGTACCTATATATAAAGTGATCACTATAGGTACATGTCTGATAATCATTAATGTCTTAAAAGTATTAACCATTTAACAATTATTCGGTTTCTGCTTTTGGGGTTTTATTATGTGAGTTTTGATTGTGAGGATATGGGTGGAGTATGTAATCTGATTTTTTTTTATATATTTTGGATTTTGTTCTATGAGTACAGATGACATACTGAAATTAAAAAAAAAAAAAAAAACTGTGCTGTTAAGTTTTTTACGAATTGATTTTAGCTTTTGCATAATAAAATTTGTGGTTTTGGTTTTAGCATAGCATTTCTGAGATGTGGTGGATCTTGTCCCTAATTACTTAAAAATGAAGTAGAAGATCTAAGATCCAATCAATATTTCAGAATGCCAAGACCAAAACCATCGTTTTTAGATTATGAGAATTATAAAACTAATTTGATCAAAGTTTGAGAGGCTTAAAACAGATTATTACTTAGTGAAAAGTGAACATTTATATATTTTTTTCTTTTATTGCATCTAATAGCCTTGTTGGTCCTCGGCTAAGAGTTTTTCTACTTCAATGTGTGTCACAGTGTGGAATACAATGCTTCCTATGTGTACCACTCCTTGTTTGCATACTTTGACAGGGACAACGTGGCTCTCAAAGGATTTGCCAAGTAACTTGCATAAAATCCCTTATGCCTCCTTTCTCCTAGTGTTTCTTCCATTTCTCAAACGGGTGTTCATTCTCATGTGCTGTTATTATTGAAAACAGGTTCTTCAAGGAATCTAGTGAAGAAGAAAGAGAGCATGCTGAAAAGCTTATGAAATATCAGGTTAAATTAACTTTATAGTTAACTGTTAACTCCTAATCATGCAGCTAAAAGTAACTTCTCTAAAGTTACAATGACATTTTACTGATATATATGGTTCTTGTTAAATTGTTTAGAACACTCGTGGTGGAAGAGTTGTTCTTCACCCCATCAAGAATGTCCCCTCAGAATTTGAGCATGTCGAAAAGGGGGATGCATTGTATGGTGAGCTCACTTTTTTAATTACTGTTTCAATTCTCAACCTCATCTATATTGTCAATCCCAGCATTTTTTTTCTATTATAGAATGACTCTGTTTAGTCCTGAAGATGTGCGTTGTGGTTTCTCATATTTTGTCAAATCAATATATATGCTGATTTTCCTCTATTGCTTTGTTCAGCAATGGAATTAGCTTTGTCTTTGGAGAAGTTAGTGAATGAGAAACTTCGGAATGTGCACGGTGTAATGCATCTTTACTTTTCTGCTTTTGGTTGCGAATTTGTTTTTCTCTTCTTTTTTTTCCCAGGTACTAACAAATTATTTGATCTATAGTAGTTAATTAAGGCTAATCAGTTGAGGATTTGTGACTAATAGGTGGCAGATCGCAACAATGACCCTCAAATGGCAGATTTCATTGAAAGCGAGTTTCTGTCAGAACAGGTGCAACTCATCTAAACTATAGAGTGGTTGTAGATTCATAGAAATTTCGGCAATTTACAATATATATATATATATATATATATATATATATATATATATATATATATATATATATATATATATATATATAGATAGATAGATAGATAGATATATAAGGAAAAGGAAAGAAATGGACAAATAAAGGAGAGAAAAATTTAGAGATGTATGGTTTTTCCAAGCCTTAACCTTTAATATATTTTACAATTCCTTGCAAATCAAATCAACACCATGCTATTGTGTTGAATGTACCCCGTACCAAAAATGAGAAAAACATCTTACACACGCTAAGAGAAAGTGAAAGGCAATACATGTGCATCTATGCAGTTAACACTGAACTTCACTTTGCAAGTTGAGACTGCATCTCTGCTTATATTACCAATGCGTTTCTTAAAACATGTCTCTTTCTTTTCAACAGGTTGAAGCAATTAAGAAGATATCAGATTATGTGTCTCAACTGAGAAGGGTTGGAAAGGGTCACGGTATGTTTAGCTATCATTGTTTCTTACATTGGTTTTGCCTATGTGTACCTTTCCAGCAGTAGTAGGGTACTTTCCTCCTAATGCCTATGGCTTATGATTAAATTTATGTTATATGGCTTGCAGGTGTTTGGCACTTTGATCAAAGTCTTCTTCATGATGGACATGCTGCTTGATCTTGAATAGTCTTTATTAGTCTTCATTTACATGTGCTCTTCTCTTAAAATCTGGGTTGTTTTCTAGTTTAGAAGCAGTATTTTAATGTTTTTCGAATGTACCGAGGTCTAAGAAGAACTAGGAGTGTTGTAATATCTGGTTGAAGGCGCATTATGCAATCACATTTGATACTTTTGCTTATTTATCGTCCCTCTCCGGTAAACATGTGAATGGTTACTTGTGCTTAAATGGGCAACACTCTCATGGTTTGAAAATTTTCATAATCTTCATACTGCGTAATACAAGATAGTGAAAACATGATTCGGATTTTGTCTTTTAACTTAATGATGATGAGAAATGATATAAACAAGTAACAAATTTATGTTAAAAAAAGAATCCTCTAATTGAATAGAAGGTGCGTGATTCTTATTGTAACAGCCTCTAACAGATGGTTTGAAGTTTGATATTGATTATTGAACAATTTGTTTCACCAACTGGTCCTAAATTTTCACTTTTTAGTATGGCTCCCGTGGCTAAATTTATGCAAGTAGATTTAGGAAAGGCTTTGTAAAGAAAAAAATGAAGGAAATGCGAGTGAAATATCCTCTATAAACAGAGGAAGAGTAAAAATTTCCTCTGCCTGAGGAAAGGAAAAGGTCCCAAAGGTAAAAGTGAAGGCTACCTGTCAACAAGAAGTATGAAGAGCATTTACTGTTCTTACTTATACCTTTACATTAAATGACTTAAGTTGAGTTTATTATTGTTTAAAATAAGCATAAATCTGTATAAGTTTTTCAGAAGAAAATGATGCATAAATGGAAATTGGCCAATATGGATATTGACAACACACCTATATTAATTTGAGATATGTGGCTCGCATTCCCGATCAGAATGCGTAGTTCATGTGATTTCTGCTTCTTTTACGTAGGAGGAGCTTCATTTTTTTCTGATGGAAATAGATGTTAATGCTTAGGGCTATGTTTGCTTTCTGTTCAGTTCAGCTGGATTGTACTATATTTGTCTTGCCAAACTTAATTTGCTGACATGTTTTGGTTTCCTGTTTTGTAATTCGTGCATAAGTTTCAAACGAAAGCAACCTTGTGATTTTTTTTAAAACTAAAAAGTTTGCAAAATAAAGTTAAATCGAACTTGTATTTACAAACTTAAACGCAAATCTGTACTTTTGAAATATAGACTACAAGAAAATTAAAACTCTAATCGTTCACTTTTACTTCCCTCGGAAATAAAATTAATGATGTGAGGGAAAGAGTAGAGGTTGAAGGAATGGAACATGAAGAAAAATTTGATTCCCCTTCTCTTATACACCTACTACTTCTGATACTTTAATCAAACCTGTGGACTCATCCACCAAGAATAAAGTAGAATCATTCCAATGACCACCCGAAAACAGTTCAAGTTGGCCTGAAACAAACCACACAATACGAAGACCTATTGACCCTTTTCTTGTGGCATGCATTCTGAGGAGAGGAAGATTCAATCATCTTCCACATGACTTGGATATCTGCATATTCCCCACAAGACTCCATATCTTTATAAAGACTAAGAAGTCCATTTCCCCGCCCTGTATTCAACACCACAAATAAAAGAAGTGATAAAAGAGAAGTTAACTGAACCATTGGTGAAGTAGTCTTACCTTCTGATTTGAACCTGAAGTTTGAAGTCACTTTAAGAAGGATAATCTTAATTGGGTAGATAGATATCCTCTTGAAGTACCTCCAAGCCTTCCAGTTCCCCATTTTCTGGAGCAGATAGCTAGCTTTCTCTTCCTTGCACCCTCCATTTTATACGTGTAAAGTATGCCCTTGAAAAACTAATGCAATGATTTCTAGCAAAACAACAGGATGAATCCTGCCATATAAGAAAGCAACAAAATAGAAGACAAGGCCTTTTGTGTACTTCTTGAGTCTTCTATCTTGCTTAAAGTATTCCAAACAATTGCTTGATTATCCCATCCAAACTGTTACAATATTTCAACTGTCTAGAAGTAAAGATATTCATGCTTATATTATAGAACTTTTTTAATCTATCAGAAAAACAAGTTATTGTAGATTGATATTGTGTCTGAAACATTATCAGAAACATACCTCTGTCACTCCTCTAATATTAACTGTTCTTATTAAATTTTATCAGAAAAGCACATATTTTAAATTGATTTTGACAGTGGCAAAAGGAGAAATACTCCAAGATCATATCATACCAACTCACCAAGCATTTGGTGGTACAGTAGTTGGATGTTTTGAGTTTATGACACATAATGCAGGTCAACAGTATATAAATAATGAGTTGGAGGAAATTGATTTGGATTTTGCCTCCCCTACTTATTCAACTCACTAAATATTCTCAATCTAATTGCATCTATAAGCAAAGCGGTGGAGTGTGGTCCCCTTTTGAAACGGTTGGTTGGTTTATCTTCAAGGTCTTTCTGTTTGTATTTGCACTTTCTCTCTACTCTTTTCTTTATGCACCAGAATAAATATTCTTTTTACTCATAAAAATTATTTTGAATTTTAAAAAATATTTATTTGAATAGTCAGATGTAACCAATTTTTTTTTAACTATACTCATGAATAATATTTCTTGGACTACGATTCCTCGAAAAACAATATGATTCTGTCAAACAAAAATCTCCAAGTAATTCTTTTAAGTTTTAAACATAAAGGTCTGTTCTTATCTTAAAAAGTTGTTGAGATTGAATTCAGATAATTTTTTTAAAGAAAAATAAAGAGTTATTATTATTATGCCATGGAAGAGACTTAACATCCGAAGTGTTTTGATATTGAAAACCAAGGTTCCTGAATTGGCACAATTTAGTAGGACCATAAAAGTTACTAATGTTTGAAGAAGCATTTGGATACTGTTTCAATCACTTTGTATGCTATAACATATCCTTTGATTTTGGTGAGTGAAATTTAAAAGTTAGACCATGCCATGTTCTGGAGCTATTTTTTTGAGGTGCTCGTCAACCACTTGTTATGACATCTTACCAATATATATGCTTTGAATTTGAACTTATTTCTCTTGTTGTCTTAGTGTGTGTGTTTTATTTGGATGAGAAGTGTAGATGGGAATATTTTGGTGCATATTCTTGGTGTTTCATATAACTTTCAATAATTTATTTTTTGAATTGAAAAAAAAAGTTGAAAGGAAAGAAATTGAATACAGAGTATAATGATGAAAAGTGAGGTTCTCTTAACACAAAAATTAAAGAATAAACATGTTAGTGTCACATAGAATGTTTAATTAAGGGAATTGATGACAGAAAAAAAGAGAGTAAAGTTACTATTAGGTGCATATTCTTGTATGGTTTGATCACTCATTTTCATAAATTTTTATAGTGTGAATGTTATTGGAAAACGATTTTACACTGAAGTTATGGAAGAAAGTTAAAATCAACTTATATGTAGGGATGAAATGATCTATGAACATGGTTTGAGTATTTTAATAGGTGAAGATGAGATAACATTAAGATTTTTAAAATGAGTGGTTGGTAAGAATTATTTAAAAATGAATTTTATTATTATGAATTTCTTGAGTTACTTTAAATTAAAGGAAAATATTTAAAATAAAAAATTATTTATATAAATAGTTTTATAATAAAATATATTTTTAATTCTTAAGCATTTTTGTAATCAATACATAAAAATAACTTACGAAAAAGTATCTCATCTTAAAAATGAAGTGAAAGAGTGTAAGGGTCAATTTATGAAAATAGATGGGCATTAGATAAACATTCGGTTGAATCAATATTATAAATAATATATATATATATATATATATATATTTAAAATATTACTTAAATAGAATTTTTATAGGTTTATTTGTTCAATTCACCTGCTTACATTTTACTATTTATAGCATGGTTCTTAAAATTGGATTCATCATTAAATCGAAATTGGATTCATCATTAAATCGATAAATGTACGAATTTAGAGTTTAAAGTTCAAAGGTTCAACTAAATTTAATCAGGAATTAAATCAGGTTTAATAAAATAATATATTTTAATAATATAATAATATATTAAATTTAAAATAGGTTTATCATAATATAATACTAATTTTAATCCAATATAAATATTATTTAAAAAATATTATATAAAAATAAGAATGATTGGTAGAATATATAAAGAAAAATTAAATAAATAAAAATATGATTAAACACTTGGAATACAAAATAATTAGAGAAGAAAAAGTGTCACTACACCTAACTACTTGAAACTAATTAGGGAAAAAAACCATGACTAACTGAAAATAATTAGGAAAAAAACTGCATCTCACTTTAAAACAATTAAGGGGGAAAATTACATCATATCTTCCATTACATCTAACTTCAAATTTTATCCATTTTATTTTATTTTAAGACATGGTTATGAAATCCAATGATAACTCACTAGTCATTTATCAAATTAATTTTCAAAATTAAGAGATTATGATTCTTATACGTTATTGTATTTTCACGAATGATCTAGTGATGATAATAGTAAATAACAACGACAGTGAAGGACAATGCCGAAATGAAACAATCAAAAGTAGTGGGTGGCGGTGACGATAATAGTTGTAAGAACGAAAACCGTAATGTAATAAAAGAAGAATATTAATACCGAGTACAAAAAGATAGCTTTCTCTCTTCAAGTTTGTATGTCTCTATGTTAAACTAAAGAAAAAAAAATAGGGGACAAAACCACGTCATTTAACTATTACAAAAAAAACGGGTAACCCCTTAACCAGATCCGATTTCACCAATTTTTTCGATTTTTAACCTATTTATCCAATTTTACCAAATTTTCCAATTTTTAACCTATTTATCCAATTTTTGACCGATTCATTCTTTATCTGATTTTTAAGGAGCTTCAAACCTGTTATCACTCCAATTCCAGTTTAACCGGTTGAACCGTCCAATCCGAATAACCATGATTTATAAACAAAATTCAATAAAAAAAAACAAATTAGTCTATAATACATAGATTTTTCTCTCTTTTCTCATTTATTTTCTTATTTTTTTCCTCTCTTCATTAGTTTTTGTTTTCTTCACTCACTCTGTCTTATTCTTCAGTTAAAAACACAGGATAAAAATTTGATAATATAAATTATTAAAAAATAAAAATATTTAAATAATCCAACAAAACTATAATTTAGTATATTATATTTTAAAAAAATATTATATTTTAAATTTGAGATGTTACAAATATTAGTGTTATATTATAATTATTAAGAAAAAAAGTAAATATTTATTTTAAAATATTTTTTAATAAATATTTTTTTAAATTATCTATTATAAGTAATTATCATAAATCAAAATTATTATAACTAAATGTAATTATTAAATAAAAATATATTTAATTTATAAATATTTGATATTTTTTTAATTAAATGAGTAATTATTTATTATAATAAAATAATTATTTACATCATCATAAATAAAATTATTTATTGTCATTATGATTTTAAATAATTAGTTAATATTTTTTAATTTCAATATTGTTTTTAAAATATTTATTTTAACGTACTTTTGTTAAATTTTAATATAACAGTTCAATTAAGAGAATAAGTGAGAAACAAGAGAAACAAGAAAAGTAAGATAGAAAAAAAAAGAAAAATTTATGAAAAGAGAAGAAAAATTACCTATAAACAATAAACCAATCTATTTGGATAAATAAATTCATACAGATTTTATAGGAGTAATTTTTGTTTTAAAATATACCATTCTTATTCTTAGGATTCCTTCATAGTTTGAGATGATGGTATTTAAGCAACTTGTTGGAAATGTTGACTAGAATGGGTGAATATGAAAAAGAGGTATACACTTTTCTTATACCTCTCAAACTAATAATTCTTACCATACATCTCATAATGTTGATTTTCTGAGATAATAATCTTTTTTAACTTTTATTATTTATATTAATATTTATAATTTTAATTAATGATTATTAAATATATATATTTATAAATTTGATTTTTATTTTTATATTTTTATATTTATTTATTATTTATTATTAATATATTATTTGATCGTTATATTAATCATCAATATCCAATGTTGAACCTAAAGATATCCATTCCACACGTCAAAAGATAAGAATATGTCAAAAATATGAATATACTAAAAGAATGTATAAGATACGTTAAAATATCATTTTAACATGTTGAATTATATTTTATAAAAATATGTTAAAATATCATTTTCCATATTGAACTTACGTAATTAAATCAACTTTAAATATTTTCATTATATTTTTCAGTAATAAGTCTTTTCTATTCTATTTAACCCCACACACACACACACACACACATATATATATATATATATATATATATATATATATATATATATATATTTTTTTTTTAAATCATATTAAATATTAATCTAATTTGATCTTTCTTTATCTATAATAAATATAAACTATCAGTCTATATTGAGGATTTGAAATTTAACAAATTTGAATTGATTTATCTCAATAAAAATTTTAGAAATGTTAGAAATTTAATCAAATAAATCAATGTAGGAAACAAATTATGTATTAGGATAAATAAATTATTTATGAAAAATTAAATGAAAAATAAAGAATATCACAATCATGACCAAATGATAAATAATAATAAAAAACCCATCACTTTGAATTAACAGTTCAAATGTAAGACTTAATTTTCACAATTAAGTTAAAGAGAATTCTCTGTTATATTAAATATAAAAAATTTTATAATTATAAAGATATATATAAACAAATGCAAAAACATCTAATTCAAAATATACCATTCCTATTCAACAATTTATCCTTAAACCTCGTTCTTGACCCATCTTTATGTTTTTATTCATCTACTCATCATATTCCTATTGTTGGATAAAATTCAACCTTAATCTTAAGTTTTTTTATTTATTTGTATTTTTATTTTTATCTAGAAACAAAATACATGAACATAAATTGGATGAGATCAAATTTGGAATAATAAAAAAATTCAAGCTGTTACAAACAAATATTTTCATTTTTTAACATTTTACTCAAATTTTCTTGACAATTACCACTGTTAAAAAAAAACTAATTATGGTATTATCGAGCGAAGTTGAATGAAAAAACTCTTTAGGAAAAGTTTTTTCATGCTTTTTTTACTCTTTTAGAAATCATGTTAGGTAATATTATTCTAATTGTTTTCCACACTGTGTGTTAGTGTAGTAGGTTATTTGTACACTAAGTAGATTTTCAAGAAAACTCACATCTTGAGTGCTGCTAGAATTTATGTAACTAAATTCAAACTAAACGCAGATTCGAGAATAATCAAATGAATGTAAAATATTTAATATTCTTTGTTTTCTTTCCTTCATTTCTTAATGTTTTTATTTTCTTTTATTGAGACGTAAAAGACTATTTGGGAATTAAATTCTTGTGAAGGAAAGAAGATGCGGAAAGAAAATATTAAAATTATAGGGTTATAAGAAACCTACTAATATATTACACCCATCAACATTTCTTAGTAGACTTAGTGCTTCATCGTATCATATACGATACCCTGTTGTTGTTTGTGTTTCTAACGTTAGTTGTCATGTTATTTCTGTTTTTATTCTACATTTCTAACCTCCGAGGTTATTTATATTCTCCTTCTACACTTTTGCCTTGTTTGAATCAAAAACCTAAAATTTCCATACGTACGTCAACATTAGCGTTGTTTAATTGGAATAACTTCAGAACATATAACACTCACACTAATATAATAGAAATAACGAGAAACAAAATTGCTTCATGATAACTTGATATTTGTGTTGGAATATAAATGAAGTATAAAATTAATAATTATTTTAAAAACATATGATAATAACTTCTCATCTATTGACAGGGATTAAAATTCTTAAATAACAATATTCAAATTGATGGAAGTAGAAGATTAAAGTATTGAGGGAGAAAAACGAGTATCTTCTCACTTTGAACACGTCAACATATGAAACTGAGAAATTGAAGTTGACCTGAGTCATTGGGTTTGGAGGTGAAAATTGACCCAGTCTTCTGACACAGAAATGAAGTTTCATCTCTTTTATTTACTATGTATTTTTTTTTTCCAGAAATATTTCTAATTTATTTTTAATATTACACTATTTTTAAGCAAATTTATGACCTAACAAATATATTAATTAAGTTCAACCCAGGTTAAGTTATTTTTAGAATAAATCAAATATAAATTTCGCAAAAACTTAGTTGATTAAAAATATCATACTTGGTTTATTTCAAAAGTCGTTCTACCCAAAAAAACACTAAATGTTTTCTTATTATTCTATATTAAATTTATTATGCCGATCATATATTCATTTACTTTACTGTACAATATTATATTCATTTACTTTATTGTACAATATTAAGTCTGGTATTTATAAAAGTCCAAGTCTTTTACTGCATAATAAATGTATATGTTATTTAAAAGACTAATTACAAAATAGTTTTACATTAATTTTTTTACCTAATTCAACCTGGTATATTTTCCATGCTACATTCTTGTTAACTTGTTTCACCAGCAATAGCAAAAGCAACGCAATGTCTTTGTTTACTACTAGCTCGAATTTATACATAATTGATACATCACTCTATAGACTATATTTGTTCTTTGGACCAGTGCTTCCAAGTTTAGTTTTATATGGAAGAGAAAGGAGAAGTGGCATTTAATTTGATGATCGTCTTCTTCACGTAAATGCATAAAAATTAAAAGAATGATGAAAGTAGTCATGTAAAGAACTTCCACGTTTGTGTCATGATTATATAAAAGATTATTTAGTCAACTGTTATTCTCACATCCAATTATAATCTCTCGTTTGTCATAATTTTGTTGTTAAAAAACATCTAGATTAAGAAGGAAAATGTATAAAATATTTGGAATCGACTCGCGAGTTTTTGAATAATGTCTATAAAAGGAGTGTGGATGTTCAAACTTCGAATATCAAGTCTATACCATCCTCAATCTCCTTACCTGCCAGTAATCGAGTTGGTTCTAATAGTTATCTCCAATGAGAATCCACCAAATCTTCTTTAACATCTTCATACCCTTGTGCTTGGTATACTTGAATATCAACATCCATGTAGTAACATGCCAATGTCTTGACCATGAGCAATTCTTGTTAGTCCAATTAAAGAAAAATCTTGTATTCAACTCTGCCACTTCCAAAAAATTGGCTCACTGGAACCAAAGTAGTAATTGCTGTCAATGGAGTGGAGTAACATGTAGCATGGGCCATGTAATTGGTCTTGACTTGAGTGAGGAGTATATTTCTGGAGGTCTAAATAATTCCAGTCTCTTTAAGCTGGAATATTTGCTGAATCTGAATCTGGCTTACAATGATTTCAACTCTTCCATTCCTTTGAAGTTTGAAAAGCTCAAGAATTTGAGGTCTTTGAATTTGTCAAAGGCTGGATTTCATGGACAGATTCCTGTTCAGATTTCTCACCTGACAAATTTGACAGCACTTGACTTGTCTACATCACTAGCCTCACAACATTTTTTCAAACTCCAGAGACCAAATATCAGCATGTTCTTGCAGAACCTTACAAAACTCACAGACCTATATCTTGATGGTGTAAGAGTATCTGCTCGGGGAAAGGAGTGGTGTCATGCTTTATCTTCTCTTCAAAAGCTAAAAGTGTTGAGCATGTCATCATGCGATATCTTAGGGCCAATTGATTCTTCATTTGCAATGCTTCAGGGACTCTCAGTCATTCGACTGAATCTAAATAGTATCTCCAGCCCTGTGCCAGAATTTTTTGCAAATTTCTCCAATTTGAATGTTTTGGAGCTTAGCAGTTGCAGGTTGAGTGGTAATTTTCCAGAGGGTATCTTTCAAATACAAACTCTAAACGTTCTTGATATATCGACCAACAAGGATCTTAATGGAGTTTTGCCAAACTTCCAAGAAGATGCAGTTCTTCACACCATGAATCTTAGTAATACAAATTTCTCAGGGAAATTGCCAGGTTCTATTTCCAATCTAAAGCAGTTGTCTATGTTAGATCTATCTAACTGCCAATTTATTGAAACACTCCCGATTTCAATGTCAGAACTCAGTCAACTTGTTTACTTGGACTTGTCTTATAACAAGTTTAGCGGTTCACTCCCCTCTTTCAACATGGCAAAAAATCTCAGATATTTATCTCTCTTGCACAATAATTTGACAGGAACCATTGCTACTGCTCATTTTGAGGGACTTGAAAATCTCCTCATTATCAATTTAGGAGATAATTCTCTCAATGGAAAATTTCCTGTGTCACTTTTTACTCTTCCATCTTTGCAAGAACTTACACTTTCTCATAATGGATTTTACGGTCCATTAGATGAATTCTCAAATGTTTCTTCCTCTAAATTACAGTTCATTGATTTGAGCAGCAACAGCTTGCAGGGCCCTATTCCTGTATCTATCTTTCATCTTGAAGGACTTCGTTTCCTACAACTTTCTGCGAATCAATTCAATGGCACCATAGCACTTCATATGATCCAGAGGCTGCAAAGTTTACATACCTTAGGTCTTTCACACAACAAATTGTCAATTGATATGACTTTCATTGATGATGATGATGATGGCATTTCATCCTTTCCCAGCATGAAATATTTATTGTTGGGTTCTTGCAATTTGGGAGAATTTCCAGGGTTCTTGAGAAACCATCCCCAATTGCATGCTTTAGACCTATCCAACAATCGGATTCATGGAATAATACCTAATTGGATTTGGAGATTTGACACTCTAGTTTATCTAAATCTTTCAAACAATTTTCTGACAACTATGGAAGGACCCTTTGATAATCTGAATTCCAATCTATACATCCTTGATCTTCATTCCAATCAACTTCTTGGATCAATTCCTACTTATACAAAATATGCTGTCCATTTGGATTACTCAAACAATAAATTCAGCACTGCGCCACTTGACTTGGACAAGTATATGCCTTTTGTTTACTTTCTCTCACTTTCAAATAACAGCTTTGAAGGAAAAATACCTGAAGCCTTTTGTAATTTTTCTTATCTTCGGTTGCTTGATCTTTCCTACAACAGCTTCAACGACTTCATTCCCATGTGTTTGATGACGAGGAATAGTACTCTCAGGGTACTAAATCTTGCAGGAAACAAACTCCAGGGTTCTATTTCTGATACCATTTCAAGTTCATGTAATTTAAGGTTCCTTAATCTCAATGAAAATCTCTTGGGTGGTGTTATCCCAAATTCTCTAGCCAACTGTCAGAGTCTACAAGTCTTAAATCTTGGAAACAATCATTTTAGTGACAAATTTCCATGTTTTTTAAGAAACATTTCCACCCTAAGAGTGCTAATTTTGAGGTCAAATAATCTCAGTGGTCCCATTTCATGCCCACACAGCACTACCAATTGGGAGATGGTTCATATTGTGGATTTAGCCAACAATAACTTCACAGGTATACTACCTGGAGCGTTATTGAAAAGCTGGACAAAAATGGTGGGAAATCAGACTGAATCCCATGAAGAGTACGGGACTTTATTTTTTGACATGTTTGATAATCATGACAACATGCGTTATAATAATTTGTTCTCGGTTATCAACAAGTTTCTTGTTATAAAATTGTACAAATTGTTGGCAACTGAACCTTATACTGTGGCTGACCACATATTTGCTTATTATGTCACTTCTAACCAATTTGGTGGTCGCTATTTGGATTCAGTTACAATAGTGTACAAAGCAAATCAAATGAAGTGGATCAAAATTCCCACAACCTTCACTTCCTTGGATCTCTCCTCCAACCATTTTCAAGGTCCAATACCTCTAGAACTTGCTACTTTGAGAGCACTGCATATTCTTAACTTGTCACATAATGCTTTCTCAAGCTATATCCCCTCATCAATTGGAAATTTAGTGAATCTTGAAGCCATGGACTTATCAAATAACAATCTGAGGGGAGAAATCCCTCCTGCGATTGTGAACTTAAACTTTCTAGCATGCTTGAATCTCTCGTATAATCATTTGTTGGGAAAGATCCCAACAGGTGGTCAAATGCTCACATTTGAAGCAAGTTCTTTTAGAGGCAATGAAGGATTATGTGGGCCACCCATGAAAGCTTGCAGCAATGGTAGAGGGGGAGATTCACCTCCAACACCAGTATATGAAATGCATGGTTCAATTGAGTTAAACTTCATAAGTGTGGAGTTGGGATTTATTTTTGGCTTGGGAATATTTATCATTCCCCTTATGTTCTTGAAGAGGTGGAGGGTTTTGTATTGGCATGTAGTGGATAATTTCCTTCAAAGGGTTGTCCCTCAGCTTGATTTTGCCTACGAACACCATGGAGGCCAAAGGTTCAAATCTCTCAGGTGGATGGGGTAGCTGATCTGCTCATGGAGAAGCAAAGATATGTTGCATTTTCTTTCTCGTTTGGGTTTTCATCTTTTTCTTTTTCGACTTGTTTTAGGTCCGTCTTTATGTTTAATCAACAGACTATGTTAGCTCATTTTAAAATACAAAAATGAAAAAATATATCTATATTTTAAAATTTAAGTTTTATTAATAAATTTAATTCTAATTTAAGTAAAATATTGAACTAAGTAAAAAGTAATTTAATTTAATCGAATTTTTTTATCTAATCTATTTGTAGTACTTTTCAAATAAATTTATAGCCAGAAAGCTTTTTTATGGGTCTAAAAAACAAAAGAAGAAGAAATAGTATTACTCTAACATGATTTGGCAGCTCCAACTGCGAACATACTGTACACATGTCGGCTTAGACCAGCTAACAGTATCATGACAACAACATTGCAAAATATTTTTTATTTTTTATATTGCTGTTTTAAAAAATTTTGGAATTAGTTTCTCTTTCAAAAAGAAAATTGTAGATTTTTATTTACAAATTAATTACTTGGTTGTTTTTTATAATTGCAAAAACTTTTGTTTTTAGCTTTTATAATTTAAAATTCCCATTTTAGTTCCAAAGTTCAAACTTTTCACTGATAAAAAAAAAGTGACCAAATAGTGATTATTAATCTTCCACAATTGCAATTTTGAAGCACTCCACGGTAAACAAGAACTACAATGTTAACATAACAAAATCTGAGGAAAAAAGAAGAAGAAAAGAAACACTGAATAAATACATGCACGCTGCAATGCAAATGAATCCAATTTGGTGCACCCTAAGTTGCAGAATTTTTCTTCTTAGTCGCGAACAAGAGAGTTAATTAAAATAGTGGCCTCGTCTGCTGTAGGAACTGCACCATCTGCTTCAAACAAGGCCATGAAAATCAAAATCAAAAATAAAAAAGCAGAATATTCACCATCAATAATCTACCTTCTATTCTCTAATAATACTCGTAACTCAGTTTTTATTGCTGTTGTTTTAATATATATCTTGAACTTTTCATGGACTGCAATTAAAGCATTACATTCATAAGAAATAGTATGAAGTAAATCAGTAACTAAGAAGATACTTATCAGATGAGATCAATCAAAGCACAAACCCTTCGATTTGGATGAGCATCACTTTATTTTAAATAAAGTGATCTAAAATGAGCAGGATTGGTTAAATAAACATAAAAAAAAAAAAAAACTATTATTTAACAATGCTAGAATATAACAATGCTAGAATGATAGATATAGTTTTGGATTGTTTACCTGGGACTGAAGCAGACAAGTGAGAAGCAATGTTATGAATGATGCCTCCATTTTCTGTCTTCAATCGTTTGACTTTATCAGCAGCCATGTTTTCCTCCTCTTCACTTTCCAACCTCCTTTCACCTTCACTTTGATGGAAAAAATTAGAAACCATTTTTCTGATGACCCCTCCTCCTCCCTCTTCACAGCCATCACCCCTTTCCTTTTCTCCATCATCATCATCATCATCAGCAGCAGCAGCAGCACCTTCATCCTGAGAGGATTTTCCAATGCTTGGACTCAAGGGTGTGATGAAAGAGGAAATGAAGTTGTTGATAAGACCACCACCATCATTGTCTTTTTTTCCAACATCCTCTTCTTTCACCTTCTCAACCCCTTCTTCTACCTTTTCTTCTACCCTTTTAGATCCCTCAACCAAGCTCTCATCATTTGTTCCACCGTCTTCCATTTATCACTTATGAACTATGGTTTGGAAAGTGGTTCTCTTGATCCCCTCTGAGTCTAAGGAAATGAAAATGAGTAGACACAGGATAATGATATTTATAGGACATTAAAAGCAGTGTAAGATTCATGACACGTATTTCGCAGCTATTCACTCTGCAAATGAAGTCGGTGGCATAAATTTGTCCTTGGACATTGTAGCCACCCTCATCGTATTCCCACACAGCTTTTTATTGTTAATTAAAACTGCAATGTAAGAGTGTGTGTCTATAAAAAATATATATAAATTAATAAATAAGAGTGAGTGAGATTGTATGGCTATGAAAAATAATTTATATTAATAATTAATTGTAAGTTAAAGAAAATTTTGGTATCTTTTTTATTTGTAATTTTTTTTATTCTTTTTAATATTAGCCCTTCTCTTTTAAATAATCTACAATTCTTTGTTTTTTATATTTTAATTAGTAAAGTTGTTTATTGATAATATTTTAAATGGATACGTTAGATCTTCGGTCTTGGTGATGCCTAATTCTTTGTTTTTTTGTTACTTTGACGCTAACATTATACACGTTTGATTGGTGAGATTATTTATTGAAATGACTCATAAATGTAAATGATATTTTTAAATCAATTTTAATATTTATAATTTTCAAGTTAATTTCAAACTCTTGTAACTTTTAATAGACAAATTATTTAATCATATTGTTTAATCTCAATCAATATAATTTTTACTATTAATCGTAATAATATCTTCAATTTTTAATCAAATTTAAAATAAATAGAACCCATGAAAAAAATTATCATAATTTCATTAGTTTTATTTGTGCAATGATTAAAATATTTTCTAATATAATAAAATTTATCTTATTTAAAAATAATAAAATAAAAATTTATGAAGTATTTTAAAGAAAAAAATGTAGAAAACCTCAAACTTATAAGGTAAAATGAATTGTTACTAAAAATTAAAAACCAATGGTTTTTTATAAGTACTATTAATAAAGATTTTCATGTGTTTATTGGAATTTGTAATGTTTTGTAAATTAAGAATGACTTCGACGCATAGATTATTTATTTTAATTTAATAACATGAGTATTTAACAAGTATTTTGAAATTAGGAGTTAAAGATTGATTTTTTATCTAATTAATAAATAAATTATTATTTTAAGTTACTAAATCAATAAAAATTAAATAAAATATTTTTTTTATTATTTAAGTAAGTGAATTATATATATATATATATATATATATTAGTTTTTATGTTACAATAACTTTTATATATATATATATATATATATATATTTTTTAAACTATATCTTTAGGAATGCTTTTTAAATTTTTATTTATTAATTAATGTTTTTAATAATTTTAAAAAATAATATTTATATATTAAAATACTTAATTATAATAAATAATTTAAGTTTAATTAATTAATATTTATAATTTTAATTTTAATATTATAATATATTTATATATTTTAATAATATTTGTAATTATAATTTTTTAATTTAATTTTAATATATAATATTTTTTAAAAAGTGTCAGATCAATGCATATCCGTCAAATTAATAGATTCAAGCAGATAAATTATAAAGGATTGAAGAATTAAAATTATTAATTCATTACTGAATGAAAGCTTAATCCATTATCTACTATTTTGATTTAAAATATTTGTATTTATGAATAAACCTAAAAAGAATAAGTTAATCCGTAAAGGTGATATTTAAAAAAAAAACTTTGGTATATAAAATAATTTATTTGATTGGATAATTTAAGAAGAGAAGTCAAAGAAAAGGAAAGTGAAAGGTTTGAGAGTTGAAAAGGAGAGGATATGCCCCAAATACAAACACGCAACAATCCCACTTTTAAACAGCACTCTATTTTTTTCCGATTTTGGTAAAAATCATAATTTCATTAAAAACAAATTATCATACTCAATCACTTTTCCAAGTGGTTATCACGTCACAAACAACCTTGGAATTAATAAAACATGTTATTGAATTTTTTATATAATTATTGTAACATTTATAATTTTAATTTCTATCATTCATAAATAAATTATATAACTTTATACTTAAAAATTATATTATCACGTTGATGAATATATTTAGTAAATAAAATAGTAAAATTTTAATTCTTTTATAGCTATTAAAAAATAATTAATATAAATATATAATATTATATTTAAAAACAATACGTGATTTAGTTCAATTTGATTATGTAGTTGGTATTTATTTAAAAATTTGAATGAAATGATTTGATTAAAAAAAAATCAATTTGATCATTTTTTAAACAGAGAAGAGGATTATAGACCTAGCAATTGATTAATCAATCGATGGCAACAAAAACCATGCATGTTACATTGAGTTGAGGTTAACCTAAAGCCGTATACAAACAAATAAACTCAATGTACTAACAATTACAAACCACTAATAGGTACCCTAAGTCAATCACTACCTCTTTTTTCTACACATACTCTTTCTTTCACGTTATAAACATTTTTTTAATCTTTTATCAAATTTTAGAATTTGAATTTAACCCAATAGATTATATTTTATTCATTATAAATATTTAATATGTTTTTAGTTCTTAATTTTTAAGAGAGAAGATATATATTCTTAGTTCTGATAAAAACTGAAGTTACATCACTTTTTATAAATATAGAAACTAGATTACATTATGTTTTTTAGTAATTAAGAAAATTTTGATACTTTTAGTTCAGATCAATCTGTCTCATTGATATTCTAAATCCAAGAAATATATTTTGCTTTATGAATACTTGAATGGCCTATTTATTAGAGTCAGTGCAGTATTCATTACAGCCAGAACCAGAAACCCAGCAGGGAAAGTCCTCCTAGTTTTGCACACCCTGAAAGAAAAAATGGTTTCTCCTAAACAAGCCATCTTCTCTGCACTAACATTACTCCCTTTCCTTTTCATCAATAAATCTGATGGTGCTTTTTATTACCCTGCTGGTTTACATGCTGATAGTGCTGAAGTTACACACTTTGCTTTTCAGAAAGTTAATCTTTCCGTCTACTATGCAAGCCTAAGCCAACCTTCTGCAACTTTCATTGTTAAGAATCTGGAGGAAATTTTCCACAGCGATCTCATCAACATTATCAACCTCCAACTAGTTCCTTGGGCCAATGCATATGTTGATAAGACCAACCAATCCATAATATGTCAGGTTTTATTCTATTCCTGTTATCTTTGTTATGCTTGAAAGAATTAGAAGTTTGATTATGTAAGATTGCGCTGTAATAGGATTAAGATAAAGGTTTGTTGATTTGATGACATGCCATGCCATGCAAGGCATTAAAAGATTATGCAATTAGCATCATTGAATTTTCTGTCACTGACAACTGATTCTGATATCAATTTGGTTGCTTTAAAGGGTGGTAGCAAGATAAAGGATCTAAGATAAAGTTCAGGGAGTTAGCTTATTGCTTCTGAGTTTGGCGATTGAAAATGTAGAGTCGTGCATTTCTGATCTAATAAATAATAAATAATCAAACATTAAAAATAGTAAAGTATTTTATCCAAGTTGCTATAGGACTTTGGCTTATATGTTTTTTTTTTTTTTTCACTCCAATAGCTCAATTGGGGAAAAAGGGGTTTAATATTATTCGGTTGCTAACAACATTTTAGCTCAATTTTCCCATCTGAAGAGATGTGTCATACATGCACAAACTATAACAGTGGAGAATATTTGAAAAACAGAAATCATGTTTCTACAAAAAGGGTGTACAATTTTGTTTTATAATAATGATAAGATGAGTAAAGAGAGAAATGTCTGTACAGTGAGATGACTAATGTGGTATATATGATGATTATCTTCCAAATTAAACTTGTAATTCCGTTATAAATTGCAGAATGGACCAGATGAATGTGAGCTAAATTCATTGGAAGCTTGTGCCCTCAACGTTTGGAATGATGTGGTAAGTGTGATGTGTCTTTCCCAGTGCTTTATAGAACCAAGCAACTTGCTCTCAGAAGGGGCCAACTTAAATTCTTAATAAAAAACCTCTGATATCTACAATCAATTTTTGTGCAGAGCAAACATTATGCTCTAATCTACTGCTTTGAGTTTCTGGCAATTGAGGGAAGGCACAAGAATTGGCAAGACTGTTTCAGCCAATTGGACTTGCCTGAGGAACCTGTTCTGAACTGCTATATCAGAGGAAATGGAACAGAGGTTATTTTACTGTACATTCATATAACTATAATTAGCAAAACCTTATAGCAAGGATTTTCTTTTTTAGTTTATTAGTGAAGTCAATAAAATAAAAAATTATTGTTAATCGTATCATAGTGGAACCTAATTATAATTATATGAAAACTTACATATGCTGTATTATCCTCATAAATACAACCTTGTATGTAATTGATTTTGTACTTTATGAACTGTGATTTATGATCTTTAACATAAAACTTTAATTGTTATGCAGATTGGACAAAAATATATCAATGAAACTGCTATTTTTTACCCACCCAACGAATTTCTTCCTTTGGTGATGGTAAACAATCAATCAATTGGAAAGGTTTGTTCTTTCTTTCACTTTTCTCTTCATCTAGAAAATATTGTACATGTCTGTTGTTTGACTAATCTTTGTGTCACCACTCTGATATCAGTAGTACATTTTACATATTCTTATGATGATACTCATAAATAAAGACTAAGGACTGTTATCATTTGCATTAATTCAGGAATATGAAAATTTTACACGCTATGTTTGTGAGGCTTATAGAGGCACTCCTGTTCCACCAGTATGCAATGCAACCTTCATTAGGAGTGGATGGAGTACAATTAAATTATGAAGTGGTGTGTGTATATTCGCTAACCATGGTTTTATAAACGCGAGAAGAAGAACATTTTGGTGAAAGCTCTTCAGACAAAGCACAGAACCTTGTGGAATAACTTACTTTTTATGTTATGCCTTATGTCATTCTCTTCCAATATATCTTTCTACACAAGTTGAGCACGTTAGAATACATGTCTGATAGTAAATTATTGCAAACCTCTCAGACCTGCCACACAATGAAAGCTGCATATGCTAGATACAAATTAACATTGATAACCATAATACAGAAAGCACTGATTTTTCATCATTATGTTCAATTAGAAAATGACAATTAGACCCTTTTGAAAAAAAAAACTTGGAATTTCAACTATTTTTATGAAAAAATAAATTAGATATGTAGTGGATAAGATAAAATTTAGTCAATAAATTATAATTTTTTCAAAAAGCTGTTTTTGTTAACACAAAAGTATATAGTTTGTAATTATATTATAATATTTTTTTTATTTGGTTTTTACATATTTTTACTGTAAATGTTTTCTTTCCTCTAAACGAAATTAATTATCTTAAAATACACTCTAAAACTTTGATTATAAGTTATTATAAAAGAATAAAAGCTGCTTCTGGATGATACTCGTAAACTTTAAGGCATCCTTGCAATTGAAGATAAAATCAAAATGTCACAGGTTTAGGTCCTCTCTCCCACCACTGTCTTTAGCCCCCTCTCTCTCCGTCAATACTTTTAAATTAAAACTTAAAAACATCATATATCCATAATGAATGTTAGCCCTTTTTCATTAAAAATGGGGTATTTACTTTTTAAATTTAGCTAAACAGAATAAATAATTTACTTTTTTAATATAAAAAAAAAACAAAATATATATTTTTAAAATTTTTATTTGCATGGTAGTTTACATTTTGGTACAAAAGCGATAAATGTAACAATGGATGAACAAAGATTATTAAAAAAATAATACAAATGCAAAGATCAATGTTGGGGCCACATGGGTCGCACGTTGTCAAGAATGTTCTACAATCCTGTTTCTTGAAGCCAAGCTCTTGCCCCTGTGTTCATATCTTCTTACCCCCCCCCCCCAATGCTTCTTATGACTTCTGAATACGACAAATAGCTAAACTATGTTATGACTTTAGTCTTTAACTTATTTGCCCAGTAATTTTATTTTTATTAGTTGTGAAGCAACACCTTACCTGAATGTTATGTTTGCTAGGTAAAGCATGGCCTGCTAGCCCAATATCAATTTTCATAGTAGCTTCTCAAAGAGGTATTCCCTGTAGCAATCCCACCCTATCAATATAAAGCCACACGAGACCATATCCTACCATTTGCAAGTATTAATTCCATATTTGCTGAGACCAACTGATAAAAGTAGAAAAATGTAGTATCAACTAGACCACAAAATCTACAAACTGAAGTGAAAACTGAAGCTACGGGAGAAACAGATTCATCATTTTGGATGAGTAGCACCTTTGCCTGGCAATCCAGTGAGAAAATTAAGACATTGCAAGATTTTCATTCATAATTAATTAAGACATTGAATTCTTACACCAATGAGTGAATTGTTGAACCGCAAAGATGCACTCAAAATTAACAAATAATACATCATTGCAAGGTTCAACCTATGTGCTTGACATGCATCACTCACATATTACTTTCCAAATATCATTACATATATCAAGAGTAGTCATCTTAGAGGTATCATAGTCAAACTTCTCAACAGCATCTTTATCCTTTTCCACAATATCTGCAAACGAGGGTTAAGGAGCAACCAATTTTTACTTTTTTTGAAGAACAGGATCAACAGATTATATCACATATAGAATACCAGAAGAAACAGATTAAGGGGCAGAAAATAGTAAATTCATATAAAGGATACAGCCTGAAATTTTGGACTGCTCATCCAAGTTAGGCACAATATTTGTCACAGAAGCATACATTGAAAGTATCATCCTGAAAAAGAAGAGGGGAACGCATTTATAATCCACTTTAAGTAAAATAAGCTAAAATCAAACATCATTAGTTTATAGCAATTGAGAGATTCCAACATGGAAGAAAACATGAATAACAAATCAATCATACGTATGCGGCAGCTTTACTATCTTAGATTCAAGTTCTGTTATTTACTTACTGTGTCCTTAGTTTAGTTTTCTCAATTTTCTGTAAGCTCTTCTTTTGCTCTTGGACAGAAATCCATTGCTGTTCTAGATCATTAAACTCGTCGCTGATGGCTGTGCTGATGAGAAATAGACTGTCAGACACATCAAGCTAGAAATCTAATAATCCAAAACAAGCATACAATTGAAAAGACAAAAATGACTAGAGACTTATCTAAACTCTTCTTTCAACAAGCGTTCTTTTTCAAGTTCTTCCTCCAGTTCTCTCTGCAGAAGGTCCAGGTCTGCATCAGCAGCAGTCTCAGATCTAGCTTCCTCTATTTTCTGCTTGCATGCATCCACTTTTTTCTCATAATCTGATTCATACAAGCACAGTCAACAGCATAGCACAATCAAGAAGATCCACACACAGCAGACAACAGTGATAAGAACAACTCAATAAGTACTATAATTTCTAGCAAAGTTAAGGTTTTTGGGAGTCGACAACCACGATTGTGGCCACATCTGTCCACTCACAATATCAAGGAACACAATGAAACCACAATTGCAATTTAAAATCCTTGTAATAGTTAGCAATTAGCATACACAGAATCCAGTTCCACTCAAATCACCAGAAACTTTCTTTCATATCCAACGGCATTTTTAACTTTTACCATCCACTACCACAATATTGCTCAAGAAACAAATGAAAAGGGTAACATAATTGACGAAGAAAAAAACCGTATTGCAACAAACCTTGGAGGGAGGAGCGAACGTGGTGAAGGTGGGAGTGGACAGAGGAAGAAAGGGAGAGGTTTTGTTGGAGAGAATAGGTGAGGTTGTTGAGGTCGCGCGGTTCCATCAATACCTTAACGAGGTCATCGGTGTAGGAGATCAGCTTCTCCACCTCCATGTTTCTCGCAGGTTCCGCCATCACTCTGCAAAACCCTTTCCCCCTTCTCTTCAGAGACAAAATTGGAATTGAAAATTGAATATTGGTTCGTTGGAGTTTCTCAACTCTTTTCCTGTGAAAGGGTTTGAATTTTGCACTTTTCCTTCTCAAGGAGGGAAACACTTCATTAGCCATGCTATATTTAAATAATAATAATAATAATAAATCTATCAGTTTTCGTTCAAAATTAATCTTAAGTTTTATATTTTCAAAAAAAAAAAAGTTATCTTCTTTTATTTTTTTATTATAAATGGTAAATTTAATCTCACGACCTAATATCTTTAACTTCTATGAAACGATGAAATTCACTAATATAAAAATATATATAATGCCCTAAATTTCCATATCTTAAAATACAGAGATCTTGATAAATTTTTACTAAAATTTGAAGGACTTGTATGATATATTTTATTCATAAATAAACAAATATAAACAGTTGGAAAAACTTATTATATATTCAGAAACAAGATACAAACAAAACAACGAAAAACAAATAATCTTATATTCACGAAACAAAGTTGGATAGATTTATATAATAAGATAATTATAATTTATTTCATGTCGCTTTCTTTTGTCATGTTTTACGTATTTTATGTTAGATCTAATTCTTTTTATCATATTACTTATGATTTCTATCGTTAAAATAAATAATTTCATAAATTTTAAAAATTATTAAACATATTAGATTTCTTTAAAAGAAAATATTATAAGAACTAAATAGTTATTTAAAAAAAAGGTAAATTAAACACGCAAATATATCAATGTTTTACATTAAATTGAAAGAACTCATTATTTTTACTCTTTTAGTTGTTTTCCTTATTTAGACTCTAATTTATTTTTAATTTTTATCTATTATGTAAAATTTGTTTTTATTATTAATAAAAATGTCAAAATCTAATCCAAAAAGAAAAACTCTCATCCAATTTCTATTTTCAGATCAAAGTGGAAGGATATAATAATAAAAGAAAATCTCTCTGCAAATAAATGATTATACGATTGGTATAATACATTTGTACCCTCTTACTCTTTGACATTGTAGCTTTAATTTTTCCAAGTTGAAAATCTTAATAATTGAATTCCTTTGTAATCTAAAACTAGTTGGTTGTTATTTTGTCCTTGAATCCTGGCATGATATAAATCTTTACTTCCTCTTAATACTTCCCTGATTTCCATCAAAATATTTCTGCTGAGTTGGCAACCCTTTAAGTTAATCTTTACCTCCACATGGCTACCCATGTGCATCTCTTCCCATGTTTAACCAATCGAGAGAGGACATAAAAGGTTGCAAAAACAATTGCTCCATGGCAATTTTTGCTTCTGGGAAATCAGTTGGAAAATATGATTCAATTGATTCTAACAAGGCTTGATAATGCACTATATATCCTTCAAAGAATGACCTAAAACTGAAGCTGTTTTTCACTTTCTCATAAGCACCTCCATCCCCAAAAGTTATAATTCCACTGCTGCTGGAAGTGTTAATCAAATCATTAGCTAACCTCAGAAACTCTAAGGCCTGTCTTCTGCTCCTTACTTTTCCCATATGTGGAAGGTCGATCATTAAATTGAAAGCCAAAAACTCACCCCTCCCACCCATTTTGTTAATTTTCTTAACATCAGCAACAAGTTCCTCCACTCCTTTCTCCTCTACCTTCAACTTTAAACCATAGGATTTCGCATACTCATAGAGTTGCCTTTTAGTTTCCTCAAATTTTGATGGACTAGAAACGCATTCAATATCCTCACTACCCCATTCAATTGATGTCAATTTTAATGTTTTGTTCATGTGTGCAATAGCCTCAATTATTGGAGCCCATTGAACCCCATCTCCAATATAAAAGTCCACTAAGTGTATACCAGAACAATCTTGTGGCATGGCTTCTAAAATTGTCGAAACAGCTGCAAAGTGAGCAATTTTTCCAATTGGGAGTCCTTGATAAAGTGTCCTCAAAGCAACCTTCAAGTTCTTGAAGGCCTCTCCTTTGAAATAGTCTCCATGATTGGTTATCCCCTGAGACAAGTAGAATACAAGGCGCTCTAGAGACTCACCTAGTGGACTAGCTTTTTGGCTCATGCACCTTAAAATCACTTCTGCTAGTGATTTTTGTCCTTGCTCCAAGGCTTCTCCATAGGCCTCCAACAAGTGTTGAAGGCCCATTTGGTTTTCAATCTCCATGTTTTGTTGGGGTAAAGTCAATGGTGATGTTTTATTTGTGGACAACTCAGACCCCACAGATAGAGTAGGACTCCGAGCATTTTCCACCTTACCTGACAAATTTTGTGAAGGGGAGAAGTTCCCTTCACTCTCTCCTTGGCATCCATGACCTTCAACACTAACCATTTGGATATCCAAGATGAAACCAAAATCATCCAATTCCATGAGTGATGGAAGTTGCATGGTTTCTTCAATGATTGGGTATTGGATATGAATATGATCATTGGAGAATAAGAAGGGAGAGGAAGAAAAGGGGATGAAACAAATTTCAGAAGTGGAATCCTCTAAAGTGGTTAATAGAGTATTGAATCCATAATCACTAACATGGTCATCCATAGTAAATTTGTAAGGGTCACAATCACTAACATGGTCATACATGGTGAAGTCATAAGACTCAGCACTTTGATCAAGAGTTGAGTTCATGTCTTCAAATAATGGCCATAAGGATTGTAACACTAGTGCAGAATAGGGCTTTTACGTCACCCAATTGTCGTCGCATGCATGTATATTCGACGTAAATAAAACGCGGTGGCAATTTTGTAAATATGAGACAAAAATTTTACGTCGCACATCCCAGTATGCGACGTAAAAAGCCTCTTTTACGTCGCACCTGGGAGGCGCGACGTAAAAGGCCATCTTTTACGTCGCGCCCTCCAGGTGCGACGTAAAAGATGGCTTTTTACGTCGCGTGCTGGGATGCGCGACGTAAAAATTCTATTTTATTTCCCTCCAGACCCACTTCCTCGTCTTGCGCAACCAGGGTTTTTGAGAACGACGACGAGAACGACGACAACAGCTACCTCTGCACATCATTTTCGAGCAGTTTTACAGTGAAAAGCATCTACATTATCGTGTCATTTGACGAACTTGATCTTTCTCCCTGATTGGATTCGAGTTTGAAATCAGTTTTCATCTACACTCGAGGTTAGTGTTCTATGTCATTGCTATATGTTTACATTGAATCCGTGATTGTTTTTGGGGATCTCAATCACGTTATAGTATGAATGTCTCCACTGGATTGTTATTGGAATGTAATTATTTGTTTATTTGTTTGAGTGCATTCGGTTTACACACTCCATTGTTGTTGGAACGTGCTTTGTTGTTTGTATATTAATTTTTTTACATATAATTTTTAAATCTCTAGGAGTGACGAAACTTTATAACATAATATGAATCGAAGTTGGATGAATGCACGTCGTATTAGTGAAGAGTACGAAAAGGGAGTTGAGGAATTTTTGAAATTTGCTAGTGAAAATGGAAAAGCTATGAAAGGGACATATTATTGTCCATGTGTTCGTTGTTTGAATCAAATTCGTCATAAACTTGAGGATATACGTGATCACTTGTTTGTTTATGGTATTATTAAGAGTTATACAATATGGACATAGCATGAAGAAATATTAGACATCCCAACTCGTGTCAACTACGGACAATTTTGATGAAGGGATGGATGATAATCTAGAGGATATGATACGTGATATTGGTGAAGAAAATTTTATGAAAGCACATCTATATGATTCTTTGAAATCTGATTTTGCGCAACAATTGTACATAGGATGTAATTTTACAAGATTATCAAGCAACTTTAAAATTGTTTACTTTAAAAGCAAGAAATGGATGGACTGATAAAAGTTTCACTCGAATTATTGGAGTTGTTGAAGGAGATGCTTCCCGAAGATAATACATTACCTATTCGTAACTATGAGGCAAAGAAGATATTATGTCCAATGGGTTTAGAGTACAAGAAAATACATGCATGTCCTAATGATTGTATATTGTACGTAAATGATTTTGCTAAATTAAAGATGTGTCCGACATGTGGTTTGTCGAGGTTCAAAAACAAAGTTGAGGAAAGTAGTGGTGAGGAAGAAGTAGATGGTCCCCCTGCTAAGGTGTTATGGTATTTGCCAATTATACCTAGGTTTAAAAGATTATTTGCCATAAAAGAAGATGCAAGAAACTTGACATGGCATGCAAATGGTAGAAAATGTGACAATCTTCTTCGACATCCAAATGATTCTCCACAATGGAAAAGGATTGATGAAACCTTTCCGAATTTGGTGCAGAGCCAAGAAACTTGAGAATTGGATTAGCTACGGATGGGATGAATCCTTATGGAAATTTAAGTAGTAAACATAGTTCATGGTCGGTTATGTTGATCATTTACAATTTGCCTCCTTGGTTATGCATGAAGAGAAAATATATGATGTTATCTATGATGATTTCGGGACCTCGACAACCAGGAAATGACATAGATGTATATCTTAGTCCTTTAATTGATGATTTGAAAATGTTGTGGGAAACAGGAGTGGATGTATTTGATTCATATCACGAAGTGAATTTCGAGTTGCGTGCAATGTTATTTTGTACTATAAATGATTTTCCAAGCATATGGTAATTTGAGCGATTATAGTGTGAAAGGTCATTTAGCGTGTCCTATATGTCAAGAAGACACAAGTTATATCCAATTGAAACATGGACAAAAAACTGCGTACAATAGGCATAGAAAGTTTTTAATTGCTAATCATCCATATCGTAAAATGAAAAAAGCATTTAATGGATGTCGGGAGAATGCAGTTGCATCAAGTACTCACGCAATGGTGAACAAGTATATGAGCAAGTGAAAAATATTAATATTGTGTTTGGAAAGACCCAAAAGAAATTCACTGAGAAAAACATTTGGAAGAAACAATCTATATTCTTCAATCTTCCTTATTGGTGTAAGTTGGAAGTTAGACACTCGTATAGATGTGATGCATGTTGAAAAAAATGTTTGTGATAGTATAATTGGGACATTGCTTAACATAAAAGGAAAGACAAAAGATGGAATAAAAGCAAGACAAGATTTGACAGACATGGGTATACGTTCGAATTACATCCACAATCGCTTGGAAAACGCACTTACTTACCTCCAGACTTGTCATACTCTATCAAAGAAAGAAAAGAGAAGCTTTTGTGAGTGTTTACGTGAGGTCAAAGTGCCACAAGGATACTCCTCAAATGTTAAGAGTCTTGTGTCTATGCAAGAGTTGAAATTAGTTGGTTTAAAGTCTCATGATTGTCATGTGTTGATGCAACAACTTTTACCAGTGGCTATTCGAAACATCTTACCAACTTCTGTTAGAATTGCTATTACTCGGTTATGTTTGTTTTTCAACGCCATTTGTAAAAAGGTAATTGATCCAAAAAAGTTAGATGAATTAGAAAATGAAGCAATTGTAATAGTGTGCCAGCTTAGAAATGTATTTTCCCCCTTCATTTTTTGATATCATGGTGCATTTGATAGTCCATTTGGTAAGGGAAATTCGGTTATGTGGTCCAATTTTTCTTAGATTGATGTATCCTGTTGAGAGATACATGAAGATCTTAAAAGGATATGTGAAGAATCAAGTACAGGCCGAAGCTTCTATTGTGGAAAGGTACATTGCGAAGAAGTCATTGAGTTTTGTCAAGGATACATGTCAAAATCGGAACCAATAGGTATTCCTAAGATGAGACATGATGGAAGATGTGAAGGTAAGGGTACTCAAAATTTGAAGATTAAAAATGTTAGTCTGAAAGAAGTTGACCAAGCACATTTATACATATTGAACAACACCGATGAAGTAATCCCTTACATATCACAACACATAACTCGAAATAAAGGCAACACATCCACGAATGAATGAAAAATGGGTATTGAATGAACATAACAAAAGTTTCCTTTCTTGGTTTAAAAAAGGGTATATGTTGAGATTAATGCTTCGAAACACTTTTGAGACTTGCTCGTGGGCTTAATAGTGATGTCATTACATTTGGTGGGTATGACATTAATAACTATTGTTTCTACTCAAAAATAGAAGATGATAAAGGTAGAGTACAAAATAGTGGGGTCACAATTCAAGCTGAATCTATGCATTTTTCTAGTTCTAAAGACAAAAATCCTATCACAGCCTTCTATGAGTTATTTTGGGGTCATACAAGAGATATGGGAAATTGATTATGTTACTTTTAGGGTGCCTGTCTTCAAGTGTAAATGGGTTGAAGGGAATACGGGTGTACGAACAGATGACCTAGGATTTACTTTGGTTGATTTGAGTAAAGTTGGGTATAAGGATGAACCTTTTATTTTGGCATATCAAGCGAGACAAATATTTTATGTCAAGGATCCATGTAATGAGAGATGGTCAATTGTCCTAGAAGGAAGAAGCATGCACGGAATTCATGAAGATGAGTCTCTAGATATACATGAAACACCTTCATTTTCAAGTAGACCATTTGATGACATAGTTGACAATGAAGTTGATGACATACATGCAATTCGAAGTGATCATGATGAAGGGATATGGGAAAACATACCAACATAATAGGTGTTTATCTTCACATTTTCTAGTTCTTTTTATTCAAACTTATAAAGTATGTTGACTTCATATTGTTTTGTTTTTCAGGATATGTCGGATTCCACAGCTGGTACTCGGTAGTGGTAGTGGCGAGTGGCGGGAGCGAAAGTGGTGATAAAGGTAGATCTGTCACTCTGGTTAAAGGGGTTGACAAAGAAGGAGGGTAGCTAGAGAGAAAACTCAAGTTGAAGTTGATCCACGTTCCGGTAAGGCATCCGGCCCAAATATCGCTAAGTTTAAGAGCTATTTGGGACTACTAGCTCGACACCATGTTCCGATTACTACTCCATCTTGGGATGATGTAGAGGAAACCGAGAAGAACCTCATGTGGCAGGATGTTCAGGTATTTCTATATTTGTTGAATACTTTATATATCATTATTAATTGAATTTAACATTTATTGGTCATTTCACATGAAAATTTTGATGTTCCTAAGACTGAGGTGATCAGGAAGAAGATTTTATCCTCCATTGCCATTAGATGGAGGGACTTTAAGACTTTCTTGACACGGGAGTATGTATTTGGAAAGTTTCGAGATGAATCTCCCTGTATAAAGTATCAAATTAGTGAGGAGGATTGGTTACAGTTTTGTGCCAGCCGAATGGACCCTCTTGGCAGGATAAAAGACAAGCCGCCCAACAACGTCGGAGGTTGAATGATGCACCCCATGTATTGTCACGAGGAGGGTATGCATTATTGGAGCAACGTCTCATGAAATCCAGAGAAGAGTCGCCAGGAGTTGATTCTACCGACCTTGCATCTCCACCCCTCGCTATCAGATGTGGAAGGCAACCCGGACAAAATCCGATGGACAAATGACTTCCGAGTCCGCACGAATCATTGCTCGTAAAATCGTAAGTTATAATGTCAATTTGAATTGATTCTAATTTGAAAGTTAGTGTATGACTTAATTATTGTTAATGTGTTGTAGGATGATTTAGTTGAGCGGCATCAGCCAAGGATCATTTATTCCTCATGGTCGACAAGATATATTGGCGACAGCCATAGGAAAACCAGATTACTCGGGACGTGTGCGTGGTGCCG